TGCCCCAGCCACTCCTTGACAAGTGCCAGGTGTGACTGTCATAAAAGCCACAGGGCAGAAACAGCTCCTCTGTCCAGTTACGGCTCCTTGCCAGTCCCTCATTTATGAGCTACATGCTGAACACCTGCTGTATGTTCAATGGGCACAGTCCTTGCCCTTATTAGCAGTTATAGCCAGTGAGAGAGGAGTCACGTATAATTACACAAATCAACGCAGATCAAACCAGGTCTTTTCAACCAAGAACAGAACGGGGAAGTGCAGGCTCCACCTGGCAGGCACTTTTGTCTGTTCCGGTGACCAGTATGTGTGGGGGCTGGACACAGTGGATAGCAGCTGTGAGACCAGAGGAGACTGTTGCAGAGAGAGGTTTGCACCTGCTTGAGGGAAGGCAAGGAGACCCAGAGCAAACTCCCAGGTTTGTTTGACAGTGGACTTGATGAGCTTTGAGGCCTTCTTATCTTTCCTGGGGCTTGCTCAGGACCCTGGACTCTGGTCTGCACTTTGGCTGGCCGGGTTGACTTGTATTCCTGAGGCCAGCTGATTTCTGAGAGGCTTTCCACTTGCTCATCGTGTGTGTTTGACTTTGACCTTGGAGTTGAATCTAGAGTGGGTCAGACATATGCAGAAGGAGCTGCTTAGAGCCTCATTGGTGGGCGCTGGTGAGCAGAGTGGGCCTTTCCAGGACCCTCACTGGGCTGTTGTGGGTCTGAAAAATGAGGAAATTCCAGGGTGGCCAGGCAGGTCTGGGCCGCTGTCTCAATCAGGTGGCTCCCACAGCTGTCTTCCTCAGGCAGAGCTGGTCCTGCCCTCCCTCAGCCACTCTGACCTCCTGTAGGCCCTGAGCAATGGCCTCAGTTCAGGCAAACATTTCAAAACACAGGTGCTGGGTAACACATTCTTCCTCTGCGCTCCACCTTGTCTCTCCCTCCACCCAGCCCTTAGGTATTTATTGAGCACCTATTATGCTATTACCAGACCTGAAGAAAACAAAGTTCTGTGTTTCTCAGCCATGGCTGCATGCTGGGATGTCTACGTAGCTTTTTTTTTTTTTTTTTTTTAAAGAATGAATGAAAAATCTAAACAATTAGTTTGTATTTCTGATTTTTCTCTGAAACTTTGAAATATCGCAGTTCATGGTGAATCCCACGAGGATCCCCCTGAGATGGGCCTCGGGACTTCTCCCCGGGCCCTTTCCCTGTCCAGGCATTTTCTGCCTGGGACAGGCCTGTGGGCATGGGGATTCGGGCCTGTCTGGGTTGAGCCTTTGCTCCCCAGCCTGTCACACCCAGCCCTTCCCTCCCGGTCATGGAGGGAGAGGAGGTCACAGACTGGCCCAGCTGCCCCATGATGGTGTGGACATTAATTAGGGGGTGTCTCTCTTTCTAGAAGTGGCCCAGATCAGAAACAGACATTAGAATGTCACCATGTAGCCACCCCCTGGAGACACCGCAGTGGTCTTCAATGACTGAACAGTGCAGAAATGAACAGACACAGTGCGTCTTTCAGGGGTGTGCTGGCCACACTCACCAGGCATTTTTACTATTGGACAGTGTGTGCCTGACCCTGTCTCACTGTGCAGGGTCCAGGGAAGGTGTTCAGTGGCCACACGGTGCGTCAGGAAACCTGGGGGGAAGGCTGCCAGACACCTGGTTCCCCTTGCAAGGAAGGCAAAGGGCAAGAGAACTCCCATCCTACGGAGACTGCTTCAGCCTGACGGGGAGGGTGGCGGTGTGGGTGGCCCACCATGGGCCAGACCTGGTCACTGCAGGAGTGGGTGTGGGTACACGCTGGGACCCTTCTCTGCTGGGGTGTGTGGGCAGAAGTTTCTACAGATGACAAATGTGCAGGTTCACATGCATCTATTTGGACTGTGGAGCTGGCTTTCTGCAGGGCCTGGCGCTGGGTTCCGAGGTCCTAGAGAACCAGAAAGACTGAAATGTGCGAGGCCTGGGGACAGCACTTTTTAGGGAGAGGTTTTGGTAACTAGGAAGTGCGCCAGCAAATAGCTGCGCAGGGTCCTTGCTGGTCAGGTCAGGTCTGTGCCCTTCGTCTGCAGGGGCACTCTCCAGGCAGGGCTCCTTTTGCTCCTCACCATGGATACAAAGTAGATCCTGCTGGCCCAGCTTACGTGGGGGAGGTGGGTCTGGGTGCAGAGTGGGCAGGTGCCTGCCCAGGGCGCTGCTGACCGGCTCTGTTCAAGGCGTCTGTGCTCCCCAGGAGCAGCCGGGCGAGCCTGCTGACAGGATCTGGCCTCAGACACCCAGCCTGCCTCGGTCTGTGGCTCTTTGCAGGGGATGGCGCAGGCAGATGGACTCACCCCGCCCAGGGATGCCCCTGGCCAGCCCCGAGTGTCCAAGCTGGTCCTCCTGGGAAGTGGCTCCGTGGGCAAGTCCAGCCTGGTGCTCCGGTACGTGAAGGATGACTTCAAGAGTGTCCTGCCGACTGTGGGATGTGAGTGCAGGGCAGAGCGGGAAGCCCACAGGGGCAGGCTGGGTGGGCACCCTGGAGCCTCCGCGGTTCTGGGTCCCAGCTGAGTGTGCTCAGCATGCGCACCAGGCGTGGGGTGGGGACAGCTGAGGTGCCATCAAGGTCAGGCATGCGGAACAGAATCCAGCAGGGCAGGTACACGCCCTGCCTCTGAGACAGGCGCCAGCCCAGCTGGGGTCTGCATGGGGTGGGGGGTTCAGGGTCAGCTCTGGGGAAATATGGTCTGGTGAAGGGCGACCCAGAGGAAGGACTTGCCTGGATCTGCCCACTGAGCCACCCGACTGGCCTGCAAACCCCACTCCCTAGTTAATTTATTCCCAAAGAGGCTCCCTTTCTGCCTGGATTTGGTTTCCTAGCCGGGCCTGGACTGGGGAGGGACTGTGGGCCACGAGGGTGGGGGCCTGGAGGGAAGACCTTCTCCTGGGCGTCTTAAGGAGGCTGGCACCTCACGGTCTCAGAGGTGAGTGTCTCAGGGCATCTGCAGGCTGCTGGCCCCTTTACCTCCTCTGGGTGCATCCTGTCTGGCTGCCATGCCCAGTTCCCAACTGAAATAGGGAATCCAGTGTGCTCTTTATGCCTGTCCTCTCCAAAGGCGGCTTAGGGGGGGACAGTGTGTTCAGCAGCAGGGCTTCGGTTCAGATGGGCACTCGGCCACAGGGAAGCACTGGCTTCTCTCACTCGTGTGTTCAGTCACTTGATGAGTGTCTGAGCGTGGACGCCATCCCTGGCCTGCATTAGGCACGGAGAGTTCCACAGCAGGATGAAGACGTAGCAAACACGAATGGCTACGAAACGCAGCACAGGGCACTGCAGAGTGGGCGCCCTTCCCTGTCCCTAGGGCATGGCTCCTGAAGGCCGCAGGGCCATGAGTGGGGTGAAGGGTGGGAAGTGACCAGCAAGGGACTGCTCCAGAGGGAGCTGAGGAGAGCCTCAGGGGTCCACTCAGGCCAGCTGTGCAGGCTGCACCCCTCTCTGTTAGCAAGAACATCCACGCCCCCACGCCATTCGCCCAAGATATTGGACTCGGGCTTCCTTTCAGAATACAGCAGCGTGGCCTGAGTTGAGATGGGAGACCACAGGACTAAACCCAGGCGGTGAGGGCCATGTCCCTGGGTGGTCAGGGACATGATGTGGGAGGGAGGAAGTAGGTGCTAGCCCCTGCCAGCTTGATTGGTTCTGGGGCTGGAGCTCGCTCTGATTTCGAGGTCTGCAGTGATGGCTCATGGCCAGATGGGCCCAGCCTGCCCGTGGGAACCTGTGGAAACAGCTGTGCCTGCTGGTTACTGTGCTCTGTGAACGACGGGCTTCCTTCTTTGTTCATCCTAACGTAGCAGCAGCACTAAGTAGTTGCAGCAGTGACCTTGTGGCCCACAAAGCCTGAAATACCTGCTTCAGCACCGTTGACAGGCTTGTGACCTGGCCTAGCTGTCTGCAGGGCCAGCACCCTGGAGGCAGCAGGCCCCATGGAGGATGCACGCAGACAGGGCAGCGACGTGCAGGGAGTGGAGGGTGGGGCTCCATGCATGGGGCCATCTCCCTGCGTCGGGAGGGTCCTGCACGTACTGCTCACTGAGCCTCAGGGTGACCGAGAGGGAGCAGAGCCTCCAACAGTGGGGTGAGGCCTTGCTGTCAGGGAAACAGAAGGTCGAGAAGCAGCAAGCAGCACTCTGAGAGAACAACAAACTTTATTTTACCCCCTCGGGCCCGGAGAAACAAAACTCCAGACTGAGCTCTGACCCACAGCTTCTCACAAGTGTCCTCACAAGTGACCCACAGCTTCTCATTTGGTGTCTTCTTGGGGACTTTTTCCTCTTTTAAGGAAAAACTCCTAATCTGAAGGCCTTGTGTGTGGGGGTCACACCCAGGCCTGGTTCAGCCATCACCTTACCGCCCTGCTCCCGGGCAGCCCGGGGCCAGGAGTCTGCCTCTGCTGGCCCTCCCTGTCCCTGGTTCACCTTCTCTTTAGGGGGACACCCAGTGTCAGCAGGGTGGACACGGGCTGGGCCCTTTGAGAGGTCCTGGCTCACCGTCCAGGCCTGTGCTGCAGGGGCAGGCCTGGATGGCCCCTATTTCTAGTACCCTCCCCAGCCCTTGGGGGCCATCCTCTAGTGGGCTGTCCCCTCCCCCAGGCCTGGGTTTGTCTCTGTGGAGGGGAGAACCTCTTATCTGGGCAGGACTGTGCCTGTGGTGCTGTGGCCTTTGTCACACTGTTGTCCCTGTGGGATATCGTCTAGAAGGGAGGCAGAGGACATCCAGATTAGGTCAACCTGCGACCACCCAGCTCGCTGGGCAGGGCGGTTCCCTGTTCACCTTTATACACCAGGTGGAGCCCTGTCTCTAGGACGCAAGAACGGTGTTCCTGTGGGGACAGTGGCCTGGACTCTGTCCTAGTGTCTGAGTCATGCGAGTCTCCCCAGGCTTCAGACTCGGGATAGATATGGCACATGCTCCGGCTGTCCTTGGAAATTGCTACATTATTATAATCGTCACATTATAATGTAAACAAATATTGTATCCTTTGTATGTTATGTTTGTCTTATTCTGTGAAGTTTGATATTGTTCCTGTTGTTTTATTATTGCTAAGTGTTTTCCCACTTCTCAGGTGAGGAGATGGAGGGACGTGACCCCCTGTAGCCTCTGGTTTGGGGAGGGGTCCTGTGCTGGGCAGAGCCTTCTGCACTGATCCGTTCTTTGTTCACGTGTGGCTTTTATCAGTGAGGGTGAGGACTGCAGAGCCAGGCGGTGTGTCTCTATGGTGACCGTGGGTGCTGTCCTCGTCCCCAGAGCAAGCATGGGGCCAGGGCCTATGGTGTCCCAGGTGGGGCCACTTCAGGGCAGGGCCAGCTCCAGGGTCCTTTGGGAGATTGACACGTCCCTGGGTCCCTCACTGAGTGGTTCTGCAGAGCTTCAGGACGGGGCTCCCTGGCCATCCCTGGGAAAGACGTGGCCCACCCCAAGGAAAAGGAGGAGAGGTGACAGACAAACTGAGTCCCCAAAGCTGAGAAGCCAAAGGGCTGTCCAGAGGAGCAGCGCCAGAGCGGGGTCTCCCAGGGGCCACCAGCCCATCTTCCCTTTATCTCCTGCTACCCCAGCCACAGAGGATCAGTCCCGCCATAGGAGAGGGCGTGATGGAGGGGGAAGGCTGCCCTGGGCAGGAGTAGCCACTGGTCAGGATGGGCTGGGACCACCCAGCGCTCCCCGACGATCACCCCATCCCGAGTTCCATTGGCCCAGATGGGGGGCATTCTGGCCTACTTCCCTGGGCTGCAGGGGCGGTCCTGGAGGTGCCTCAAGCTTCCCCCAGGCCCACTGGGTTTTATACACCAAGGGGGCGGTGACAAATGGGTGCAGAACACATCTGATGTGACCAGCTCACTTCCCTGTGGAACTCAGCACTCTGCTCATGTGCTTGGACCCTGAAGAGATGTGCATTTCACGCTTCACCTTCTACGCAGGTTATAATTTTTACTAACTGGCGAGCAATACAGAGAGCATTCAAATGAGCAGATTCTGTAACAAAGCCAAAACACTTTAATGATATTAAAATTGAGTTCAGGCACAGTCTGGTTTGGGGCTATGGAACACAAGTTAGAGCGCATCCCCTCTCTGCACTCTGAATTCCTGTCCTGTTGTTCAGTGTCCACGGGGGCTTATAGAAGCAGGCAGAGGAGGAGAAAACTGGCTTGTGCCTCTATGGGCCATGGTGAGACATGGCCCCAGGTGGCCCCAGGTCACGTTACAGCTCATCAATACCATGCCACTGTGTTATTTGGACGAGCAGATTCTAGAGACTCTTAAAAAAAAAAAAAAAGATTCCCGGCTCTTGGCTCCTTCTGGCCCCACATGACCTGCCTTACACCTAATATCATTTCAGGTAAAACCTCCAAGTATATCTGGGTTTCCTAGAAATTTACTCATTTATTTTTGTGGTGCTGGGGATTGAACCCAGGGCCCCTCACAGGCTAGGCCAGTGTTCTGCCACTGAGCCACACCCACAGTCCTTTTTATTTTATTTTGAAACAGCATCTGGCTAAGTTGCCCAGGCTGGCCTTGAACTTGTGATCCTCCTGCCTCAGCCTCCCCAGTGGCTGGGATTACAGGTGTGTGCCACCATACCTGTGCAGGAATGTATTTTTCAATCACGTTTGGCTTTAGCTGTGCAGATATAGAAAACGGAGTCAATGGCAATTTGAAAGCAGAAGGTGATACCTCTGTGCTCTCTCCTGGGCTGCAGCAAGCCCCCAAGGCCCAGGTGGCCTCAGAAACCTGCACTGGGACCTGCCTGAAGGGAGGGAGAACCTAACTAAGCCCTATAGCTTCACCTGCTTTGGGTGGCTTCCCTTCTTCAGTTGACTTTAAAAATCACAGATTTTGGAGGCCACACAACATCTTGAGTCTCCCACTAGCTTTGCTGTGGAGCACCCTTAGGGCCTGGGGGTCGTGACAGTAATGGCTGCCTAGGTTACTTTTCAGGGAGTCCAAGGTGACTTTTGTCAAAAACACCAACTCTTCACTTGGGCCAGCACCGGTGTCTGACAGGGACTTCTTGATGTCAGGAGGCCCCAAGCTCTACCTTCAGGTCATGCGAACACTGCCATGTTTAGAAAACACGTTCTCCAAGAGCCATGGAGCTGGCTCACACACGGGAGACCACTGCTTCCCCCCATCGCCTTCCCCACACCTTCATCACCCCTCAGTCCCAGGGACGTGCCCGAACACTAGGCTCAGGAGGCAGGTTTGAGATCGGTGTCCCCTCCACACTCGGCCACCTTGCACGTGCCTTGGCTGGTGCCTGGCCTGGGGTGTGAGGGCAAAGCCGGGCTGGAGTGACAGCGCTTTCCTCCCATCTCCAGGGAAGACGTCATTCTGGGCTCAGTGAGCATCCAAACACTCACCTGGTGCCATCACTGCTTAGACTGCACTCCTTGGAAATTTGTCCGGGTTTTGCACCCATCTAAACACAACTCTTGGGCACCATTTTTAAAGTGGAGAAGAAGAAGCTCAGCAGCTAAGGCTGGTCAATGGAAGACGTGAACCTGAGCTTCATGCCCACCTGTGCCTGGCTGTGACAGCTTCTAAATACAGCAAGTTCAAAATCAGATATGTGGTCTGAGAAGGTGGTGCACAGACAGGGTGTGGGTGAAAGGTGAGGATGCTGGGTGATGACTCCAGGGAGAGCCAAGAAGACAGGAAGAGGAAGTAGAAATCCATGCACCGGAACCGGTGCCCCCTGTCTTCTCATGCAGTTCTATAGCCACCTGGGTAGCGGGCACCATTTGCTTGCCTTTGAGAAGAGCAAACTGAGACGTGGGGAGTTGGAGCAAGTTGCCTAGGTCCTCACAGCTGTGGACCACACCCAGGGCCCACGAATGGGAGCCTGCTGTGCTGGTGGTTCATGTTCAGGCATGACAGTGGCCTGTGTGAGCTGCAGCTGTCCAGACAAGGGCCGCGGCTTGACTGAACTCGTTAGTCTAATCTCAAGTCCATGGCCCTGCAGGAAAATGTGGACGAGTGGGCGGAAGAGCTTAGAGCTGCTTCTCTGGAGGACCTACCCCAACTCCATTCTCCAGGAGAGAATCAGGATCTTCCTGCTCCACGCTGGAAGTCTGTTCAGCCCTGGGCTCTGTCTGTGGTGGAACTGCGTCCCCTAGAGATATCACCAAGTCCTAACCCCACAGCCTGGGAGTGTGACCTTACTGGAGTTAGGGTCTTTGAGACGTTATGAGTTGAGATGAGCTCTTCCTGGACTTAGGATGGTCCCTGAGTCCAGTGCCTGGTGTCCTTGTAGAAAGAGGAGAGAACCCAGGGACACAGAGGGAAGGCCATGTGTACTGGAGACAGGTTGGGGTGATGTGTCCAGAAGTCAGGGAGCACCGAGGAAGGCTGGCCAGCCCCACAGCTGAAGTCAGGCAGGGAATGGCTTCAGCCTCAATTCCCCAGAAGAAGCAGACCCTGCCCCCCCAGAACTGGAAGAATAAATCTGCTTTGTTTAAAGCCACGCAGTTTGTGGCCATTTGTTACTGCAGCCCCAGGACACTCACATGCTATCCTTGGAGTGGAAGTTTTAATTTTGAACATGTGGCTGCCAGAATCTCTCCAATGGGCTCCACTCCCACCCTGGATCTGGGTGGGTGGCCAGGGTGCTGGCAGGAGCCTGTTGGTCTCGGCTGACCCCTTCATGCCCTGACATCTCCCCCTCCTCACTCTTTCCCTCTAGATCCCCCCACAAGCCACACACCATGGCACAAAACATTTTGCTGCTATTAAATGACTATTTTAAAATCACATCACCTTGGAGAGCTTGGGAAAAAAGTCTTCAACTGAAACACGGAGTGCCCAGTATGCGCAAGTAGATCTTCATGCCATGATTAAGTGGGTGCGGGAATAAGATAGTCCTGCCTCCACGGCCTCCCTGTTCCCTTGGGAGCAGAGAACACCAGGCTCCGTGGGCCTCTGGGTGTGTGCAGGGTTCCCAGAGGCTGCAGCAGGACATCCCTAGCTCCCCTGAGGACTGGCGACCTCTGCAGACTTGGAGAGTGTTCTAGGTGGAGTGGAGGGACACCAAGTAGGGGCAGCAGAGGGGGCGGCTGGTACCCAGTGGTGATGGGAAGGCTGGTGAGGCCAGCTGATGGTGGGATCTGAGGGCCTCCCCGCAGGACAGGCAGGGGAGCAGGGTGGCCCTAGGTGCAGGGGCTCCAGGGTCCCCAGAGCTCCGCTGAAATGCTGGGAGCAGAGCTGTGTGGGGTTCTTGGTCATGGGACACCTCTTTCAAGTTGCGCCATTCAGAGCTTTGAGTTGGGTCCCTGAGTGGCACCCTCGACCCAGAGCTTCTGGGACTCTACCAAGCACCGGGTGCACTGACAGATGACTCTGGGCTTGGTCAGGAGCTCCTGCACAGCACGTGGCCAGCCTTGCTGACTGGTCACTGACAGAGCTGTCTGGATCCCACTGAGAGCCTCCTCCTCTCAGGGAACGCCCGCCTGCCCTGTTCCAGGTGCGTTCTTCACAAAGGTGGTGGATTTGGGAGCCTCGTCTCTGAAGCTTGAGATCTGGGACACGGCTGGCCAGGAGAAGTACCACAGCGTCTGCCACCTCTACTTCAGGGGCGCCAATGCCGCGCTGCTGGTGTACGACATCACCAGGAAGGTAGGGCTGCCCGAGGCATGCCCCGGGCTCTCCGGGTCCACCCTGGTCCACCCTGGTTTCCCAGGCAGTGCAGCGCCTTCTGAAGGACTCGTGCTGGGCTGGCCCCACAGTCTATGGTACAATCATGACTACAGAGACCACGTCCACGCGCCCTCGCCACCTGACTCCCCTGACCCTGCACTTGCCTCTACTCTTCCATGATTGGCCCAGCAGGCCCCGCGCAGGGCCGTGTCTTCCACACTCACTAGTGCACTGAGATGGGGGGGCTGTTACGGACACAGCCCCCCACAGAGACCGTGGAGATGGGAGGGAGGGGCTGGCTTCATGGGGGCTGCAGGCCCAGCCTGGGAGGTAGGAACTAGCCATCCTGGGGGGGGCAGTGGGCCTGGGGGAAGGTGAGAGGGGCCTGGGTGAGAGAGCAGGGTGGGATCCAGAGAGGGTGGGCAATGCAGTGGCCGCACAGTGAGGAGAGCAGGGCCTCCTTCCTCCTTGCTGGGGGGCAGGAGGGGCTACAGGGGCCAGGTGGAGACTCCTTACCTGGTCTTTGGTCTAATGCAGTTAGGAGCAGGGTTTGGAGTGCTGGACGCCCCCTACTTTCCTGCACTAAATGTTCCAGGGGTGGAGGCCCCTGGCCTAGACACCCTGTGTTCCTGTCCCTGGGCCCCTGCAGCTGGCTGCCTGGCTGCAGACACCAGCCAGGGTGGGAGCAGGCCGGCCACCCACCTTGGAGGAACTGAGAAGCCCTGCAGGGCTGGGACTGCCCACGGCATCCTGGGACATCCGCAGCCTGTGCCAGGCCTGCTCTGCCGCCCTGGACCGGAGGCCACCACAGGCCCACCGACAGCCCTCTCTCCTCCAGGACTCTTTCCACAAGGCCCGGCAGTGGCTGGCAGACCTGGAGAAGGAGCTGCTCCCAGGGGAGGGCGTGGTGATGCTGGTCGGCAACAAGACGGACCTCGGCGAGCAGCGGGAGGTGACTTTCCAGGTGCCACTCGGGCCAGCGGGAGGAAGCCCCCACCCCGCAGCCCTGGGTTGTCACATAGGCTCACACACACACACGCCCACACCACACCCTGAGGCACACTAATGCACACACCCATATGCCCGCACCTCGCACACATAGGTACACACACCTGCAGGGACATTGCCCACTCACACCCCCACACTCACACACACCCACACCTATGCATGCTTGTGCCCCCCCACATACTTTCCACCTTAGTTTCCCTTTTGGCCAAAGAAGTCTGGAATCTCTGGAGGGTGCAGGGGACCCACCCATGCCCCTCTGGGGAGCTGGCTGCAGGGTCCCTGCCTGCTGGGAGTGGGGCCTCCCCGCCAGCCTCAAGGCCTGTCCTGGTCACCTGGCGCCCTTCCCACCCCTCCGCCCCTCCTTGAGACTTGTGGGTTCTCACATATTTTCTTTGTATTCAATATATTGTTGAAGAAGGGTCAAGAGAATAAATCCAAACTTCTTTGGTAGGAACTGCACAAGGGACAGAATATTTAAAAAGCCGTAGTTTTTCTATGAAATGATTCACAGCAGAATAAACGCTGCAGAGACGTGTGTGAGGCACTGTGGGGCTAAGAGGAGGGCCAGGCTGCCCGTGGCCTCGAGCCCACCTGCGGGGTGGACGGCCTGGGAGCATCTGTGTGCGTGTGTAGGACGTGTGCACCCCTGTGTGTGTGGGTGTGTGCATCTGGGTGGTCTGTGGTGTGCAGCTGTTGTGTGTATAGGTATGTGTGGGCACCCACATGTGTGTTGTGGGAGCTGTGTGTGTATACAGTTGGCCCTCTGCATCTCTGAGTTCTGCATCCACAGCTTCAACTTACCATGGATAAAAAAAAAATAATTGTGTGTGCATTAAATGTGTACAGACGGTTCTCTCCTCATTAGTCCCTAAATAACACAACATGATAACTATTTAGACAGCACGTGCGCTGAGTCAGGCGTCACCGTGATCTAGGGACGGACCACAGTGTGGAGCCGGCGTGCAGGGTTTATGCACTAATGCACCATTTTGCAGAAGGGCCTGGAGCACCAGGGCTTTTGTGTCTTCAGGGGTCTTGGAGCCCGTCTGCCTGGACACTGGGCACCATTGCGCAGGTGTGTGTGGGAGGACACGTGTGGATACGGGTGGTGCATGGGTTCTCCTGTGCATACAGAAGTGCGTGTGTGAAGGTGTGTGTGCAGCTGGGTTCCAGGACAGGCTTTCTGCGTGGCAGGCAGAGGAGGAGCAGATGTGTGAGAGGCAGGGGTGGGGGCACGGGCTGCAGGAGAGGGGCAGGGTCCTGCCGAGAAGGCCCTCTGGGCTCGGGAAGCAGAGCCCCTGGCATGGGAGCTTTGGTCTGGAGGCAGCAGTAAGTCCCTAGAGGGTGTGAGAAGGCTCAGGACCTGGTGGTGACTGGGAGAGCAGTCAGGGAGGGAGACCGGAGGCTCTCAGCTCTGCCGGGCCCGGCTGGTGGCACCACTGACTCTGCTTTCCCAGCCTCTCTGCTGTGGGCAGTGCCGAACGCCTGTGGCCCAGACATGCTGCGGCATGGAGCCCACGGGAGCGTCCACCAGGGATGGGCCATACACCATCTCTGGGGGTCCCCTGTGCCACAGGCCTAGAGACCCAGGCCACTGCTTTCCTCCTCCCCCTGCTCCGAGGGAGGAAGGGAGGTAGGACAGAGCTGAAGATGCTCTGGCAGCCATAGAGGGCCAGGCAGGACAGGCAGAGCCCAGGGAGGTGCACCCCAGGCCAGAGCTGCATTGTTAAAATGAGTTTTTTAAAATCTATCGTTTTCTTTTTAAAATTTTTAATCACTGTTGTGATCAAACCCAAGACCTCCCACACTCTAGGCAAGCTCTCTACCACTGAGCTGCACCCCAGCCCTGAACTGTCATTTCCAAATAACTCTCTCATTGCAAAGAGAGCACAGCAATCCCAGTGCTGTCCTCCAGCCTCTGCAGTGTCACCGTCTTACGTGACCTTGGAGGACCATCGCCTGGCTGACCTTGCACAGCTCTGGCTCAGACCCCCCGTTTTCCCGCTGATGTCCTTTTGTGGCAGGAACAGCGGCTCCCAGTTCTGGCCAATGGGGGTCCTTAGAGTTCCCCTTGTCCCTTCCACCTGCTCTGTCACTGTGAGCACTTCCGAATTTTTGGACTCATGGTGTTCTTTCCAGCCCTGGAATCGGCCGTTTTAAGAGAAGCCTGGTTCTTAGTTTGGGGGAATTCATTTAGAAACAACATCCAGGTGTGGGGTGTGCTCTTTGCCAGGGGTGGGGAGTGAGGGGGAGAAGACTGCCGCAGTCTGGCTGGGCACACAATCACGAGCCACCACACAGCTTGTAGATTCAAACAGCAACTCTTTATTCCCGAACTCACACCAGCCGTCTACAATCACGTTCTGGGGAAATCCGCGTTCTCTGCCCAAATCCACCTCCACTGGGCTTCTGTCTCCCAAAAAATACTGTCTGAATCCCGTGAGAACTCAAGGGGAACTCAGGCAGCAGGATACGCCCTATTCCCAGCAGGAATAACCTTAAACCTTAAACCTGGAACCTAAAGCGGGAACGCCCTAAACCCGGATTATAAACCGGGAACACCCTAAACCGGATCCGCCCTGGTCCTTGAGCAAGGTCACCTACATGCAATGTCACTGCAAAATGTCCTATTTCCACGAGTCCTTCCACTAAGCAACATGGGGTACGCTGGCAAGGAAATTGTCATACCTACTTGGCTAATGGCTCCCAGCAGAAGACCATGGGCTTCACCTGGAGACCTCAGGAGATGAACTGGCAGGGGTGGGCTGACTCAGGGCACAGGTGGGGCGTACCTCTCATGAGAGGGACCTGGCTCCTTGGAGGTGACAGGGGAAAGGGAAGCAGGTTGGAGATTTCAGGGAGTCCAGGAGAAGACAGAGAGCAAGAGCAGGTGGCATCCGTTGGAGCCTTGGAGGGGCACCCAAGCTGGATGGGCTGTGGAGCAGGTGGGCCTGGCAGGCAGCTGGCCTGCAGGGCTGCCCCTCTCGGAGTGGCTGCCAGGGGGGCTGGAGAGCGCGGGCGGCCATGAGAACCAGCAGCAGAAGCTGCAGAACGGGCAGTGAGGAGAGGGAAGTTTTGGAGACTCTGAGGACCCGGCTGAGAAGCCAAGGGGAGGGCAACGCCGAACTGACCCACAGGCTGTGGGCGGGTCAAGCCCAGAGGGCAGAGACCTGGCTACCAGCTCCGTGTGAGGTGGCATGGGGAGGGGTCCCCAGGTGAGTGGTCTGGGACCGCCAGGAGCTCCTCCTTGTTGGGAGAGGCCGGGGGCTTGGGGAGAGTGGGCGTGGGGGAGCCCATCCTGGGCAACCCTGACTCCTAGGCCTGGCCCTGGCCTCTCCTTCCTGGGCACGGTTTTCCTGCTGTCTCTGCTCTGGTTTCCTACACTTAGCCTGACCCTGTGGGGAGCAGGGCCCCTGCCATGCCTCCCCCTCTTCCTCTGTCCCCTCGGTTTGGGCATCTTGTCTCTGTCTGCTGGACAGTCACAGCAGGAGGGCCCTTCCCTGTCCAGCTCCAGGAGCCTCTTCCAGTGTGACCCGTCCCCTGCCTGCGTCCCTCCCTCTTGGTCCTGGGCCTGCTGCTCCAGGTGACCAAGGGCTGGGGCTTGGGACTAGAAGAACGTGGGGTGGGGTTTTCTAAGAGCCTGCGGCTGCCCTTGGGCGTGGGTTGGAGGTCGTTAGTGTCCTCGGGGAACTCATAAACCCATCGTTTTCCCTCAGGAAGGGAAGGAGTTTGCCGAGAGCAACAAGTTGCTGTTCATGGAAACCTCCGCCAAGCTGAACCTCCAGGTGCCCGAGGTCTTCAGCACCGTGGGTGAGTGAGGGCAGCCCACCCGCCGGACGAGGGCTGGGGCTCCCACGGGACCTGCTCCACTGGGTCTTCTTTTCTGGTGTCTTGGGACCAAGAGTCTGTCTGTTGGGGACAGGGGGTGAGCAGGAGGGACATGGAGTCCTCGGTTCCGGGCTCTGAGAGGCTGTCAGGAGGGTGGGTCTGGGCTGTTCTGCCCGCAGGCTGTGCGGTCCCGGGGGACTCTCCCCAGTCAACTCTCCCTTCTGTCCTTCACAGCGCAAGAGCTACTGCAGAGGGCGGCCAGGCAGAGCCACAACGCACAGGGGGACGCAGCCGTGGTTCTGAATGCGGGTCCTGCCCCGCAGGCCAAATGCTGTGCCCGTTAGAAGTGCCACTCCAGGGGGCCATGGAAGGACGTCCAAGGCCAGGCCTGGGGGTCTCCAGGGTGAGCCACTCTCGGCTTGGCTCTTCATCAGTTGTACTTCATGGCTGGTGCTGGACTGTGCCTGAGGGCTGGCGGCTTCCAGAAGTTGGCGTCCTTTGTAATAAATACCCAGTTCCCAAAGCTGGGGGTGATTGTCAGGGGAGGATATGGTGTCAGATAGCTCCCAGAAGACTGTTGCCCACCATGGCAGATCCTGTCTGGTTCCTGGACACCCCAGTCTCCTAATTGATTGCTTTGTCACCAAACGTGGAGGGTTTGTATGAGCAGAGAGGAAGCAGAGATCAGGACTCTGATGATAGCAATGTGGACAGACACCTCCATCTGGCTTGGTGGGAATGCTGGGCTAGGGCTGGGCCCACCTGGTTCTGGGAGGTGGGAGAGAAGGAAGAAGCCCCCCGGGAGGTGGAGTAATGGACCTGGGTGGCTAATCTCCTGAGGTGGACGTAGGCAGCCACGGTCCTCCTGGGAGCACAGAGGCTCCGACTTGTACCCTGACGTGGAAGTTGTGCTGTCGAAGCATCTTTTTCTCTGAAGATTAAACTGCTTTGAACCATCTGGCTCTGGGCGAGTTTGGAAGGGTGAGCTGGCACAGCCTGGTGGACTGCAGTGTGGGGGGCATTCCAGGGGCTCCTGAGCCACGCGGGAGGAGGCTGGGATGTGCAGGTGTGACTGGGGCGGGCGCGGATCCTCATTCTGACGTGACACATGGCCCCCACTGAGGCTGCCTGGCTGAATGGAGGAGCCTGGTCCCCGTTCGAGGAAGTTAGCTTGGTGACTTTTCTGTTGGGTCTCTCCTGACACCTGATGCAGCAAGGGGAAGGTATTCCAAAGGGGGACGCGTTGGGGAGATTTTGTCCTCATCTCTGGCTCCTTGGTAAGCAGATACGAAGTCTAAGTAGGACCACGTTGCTGCCAACTGAGGAAGACGCCTTGCTGTGCGGCTCTAAGGCTCTGAGGAGGGGCGACGCACAGTGCCCTCCCACGTGACCCTGGACTTCTCATCCCTGTTGGGCTTCACCTGTTGAGGGTGCTCTCTGCTCTGCCCACTTTGCATGGACAGCACCTCCCAGTCCAGGGACTTGGCCTTGGGGTGGGGCAGCCCAGATGGAAACCAGCGGTGGGGGTGATGGGAGACTGGGGAGGGACACAGGCACCAGGTATTGGCTAGGACCCGCCTAGGGAGGTCACTCAGAAGGGCTGTGTCCTGGTAGGAGACCCGCCCAGCCTGGGCCTCTCAGCGCTCCAGCCACACTTGGTACCACTAGTCCCAGGGAGGGCCCTGCGGGCGTGGTTGCCCTGATGGGAGGGAGACACGTGAGTCCACAGGACCCTGGGGGATCCCACTTCTGTTCTGGGGAGGTGGGAAAGGTCAGAGGTCCTGGTGCTGATGTGATCCCGATGGGCCCCAAAGAAACTTCTTGAGGAAGGGCTCTTACTGGACAAGGGCAGACCAGAGTGCACGAGGCTCTTTCCTCTCATGATCATGAGAAAAGGGTAAAGAAAGAGAACCAAGGGGGCCTTAATTTTTTACCAATACTCTTAGACAACTTCATAGGGGGAACCTAAAGACAGTGCTGTGTAATTGCTGTCATCTGACTGCTAATGACATTGGGCGATGTGTCCTTGCGTCCCTGCCATCACAGGGGGCCTGTACAGCACTGGGGACCACCCTGGAGGTGGCAGGAGGCCGAGGTTGCCCATGGCCACCAGGGGGCGTTCCAGCACCACTGAAGGAGTTCCCTGCTGTTGGCTGTCCTGCAGACTGAACGGTCAGGGCTCTGCTAAAGAGCAGACCAAGCCCACTGATAGAAGAGACCCTGGGAAATAAGTGGGAAGATTCTAGGGTGCCCTCTATCTGCTTGCCTGCTTCCCTGTGGTTGGCCTCCCAGTGCTAGGATTTATTCAGTGCATCTTTGACTCATTCCCATCCAGAATCCTTCCATGGTCTCTCCAGGCCGGGATGGATCTGGTGCAATCCAGCCCCCTTTTCTCCTCCCCCACTGGGCAGGTGAGGCTCAGCGGTGCCCTAAAATCACCTGGGGAGCAACAGGAGGAACACTTGCACCTGCATCTCGTCTAATCTTCTAAAGAGATGAGTCTGTGCTGGGATTTTAAACCGTCCCAGGTGAGCTTAGAATTTAGCAAAGGTTGAGAAGCCATGTGAGGACAGGGGCTGCCTCTGTAGGGTCCCCGGTGCTGGTACAATGCCTGGCACAGGCATGTGCCAACCAAGGGACAGAAGCTGTTGTTTTGCCCACAGTCCTAAAGGAACTTGTTATGGTTTGGATGTGATGTGTCCCCAAAAGCTCACATGTGAGACAATGCAAGAGGTCTGCAGGAGGAATCACTGGGGTATAGCCTTAATCTAATCAGTGGATCAGTCCCTGGTGGGGGACTGAGTGGTAACTGGAGGCAGGTGGGTGTGGCTGGAGGGAGTGGTTCATTGGGGACGTGGCTTTGGGTATATATTTTCTATCTGGAGAGTGCAGTCTCTCTCTCTGCTTTCTGATCACCATGTGAGCTACTTCCCTGTGCCACCCTCTTCCTCTGTGTTCACCCTCACCTTGAGCCCCGAGGAATGGAGCTGGCCTCTGTGGACTGAGACCTCTGAAACATGAGCCCTAAAATAAACCTTTCCTCCTCCACAGTTGCTCTGGTTGGGTCTTTCAGTCGCAGCAGCAGGGAAAAGCCTGACTCAAACAGAACAGCTGGCTTTCCTGAGAACAGCCCCCTAGAGCCGGCAGGCGCCATGGCAGCCTTGCCCAGGACCCTGCCAGCGCCCCACCCTCCTGCCCCGCCCACCCAGAATCTGGGGTGCTGGGGATGAACCCAGAGGGGTGGGGGATGTTCCCGGCAGAGGTGCATGCTCTAGGGAGGCCAGCTCTAGGGTCCCTGCAGTCCTGGCCACAGCCTAGGCAGGTGCCATGGTTGTCCTAGGCTGGACTTGGACCTCGGACTTTCCCCAGCGGCTGTGTGTCGAGGTATGGAGGCAGGAGGCAGAGAGGGCTGCAAGTGGCCCTCCACAGCTCCTCGCCATCCTGCCCAGTCCCGGGGCCGGTTCCTCTGTTCTCGTCCCCTCCCATCTTACCTGCCATTCTTATCTAACTGCTGGACGGACCCTGCTATGGTTCAGGCATGAGGTGTCCGCCCAAAGCTCCTGCTGATGCAGAAGTGTTGGATGTGAGATGATTAGATTCTGAGACCTGGAACCTGATCAGTTCGTCCTCATTTGAGCCGACTGACTGGGTGGTGACTGTGGGCAGGTGGGGCGTGGCGGCCCTGGAAGGGGCATCTTCCCCTTCTGTTTCCTGGTCCGGCCATGCCCTTCTGCCTCACCTGGGCCCAGGGCAGCGGAGTGGCCCGCCCTGGACTAACCTGAACCTGTGAGCCAAAGTGAACTTTCCTCCTCTATGTTGTTGTTGTTGGGTATTTTGGTCACAGCCACGAAAAGTTGACTAAGGCAGACCATTGCCCCCAAAGTCGATGACTCACACACCTGTTCCTTGTCTTTTAACATTGGTTCCCTTCTTGGGGCTCCCAAGGGTCCAATGTAAGATGATTCAAGTGTCCATCAAAAACTATTTGTAAGATACTAAACAACAGAAAGAGAAGTGTCTTCTGGGGAAGCATCCAGCGTGTCTAGGTGGGTGGTGGTAAGAGAGTCCCCCACGGACCCAGGACGTCACAGCTGGCCTGGGAAGGATATCAGGGTGCTTCCTCTTGGGCTAACTGGGACGCACGACACTGCCATGGGGCCAGGACAGCCACGCGTGGCTCGTGGACCACACGGGGAAGAATTCTCTGTGACACACAGGTTGTCCTTAACCACCCAGTCAAGTTCAGTGGGGGGTGGGTGGGCACTACCAGCCGACACAAGAGGAAGGGCCAGGGCACCTGGGCCCCCTGAGTAACCTGCATCCGTTAAGGCCTGAAGCCTCCTCTCTGATGACAGGAATACAGGGACAGAAGGATGGGAGCCACACCAGGGAGGAGAGGGAGAGGCAACTGTCACCAGACCACACATGTGCATTGTTCCACAAGACGACCCACTGGGTGCTTCCAGACATCAATGCCCCTCTGGGCGCAGTGGCTCCCGCCTGTAATCCCGGAGGCTTGGGAGGCTGAGGCAGGAGGATCATGAATTCAAAGCCAGCCTTAGAAAAAAGCAAGGTGCTAAGCAACTCAGTGAGACCCTCTCTAAATAAAATACAAAATAGGGCTGGAAATAGGGCTGGGATGTGGCTCAGTGGTCATGTGCTCCTGAGTTCAATCCCTGGTACCAAAAAAAAAAAAAAAAAAATCAATGTCCCGACAAAACACAAAAACAAGGAGCCAAGGGTAAGAGAAATAACTGTGACATTAGATTGGAACCTGATAAGAAAAAAAAGTTCTAAGACTTTTGTGATATATACTTAGGGATTTTTGCATATGGAGTAGATAAAAATACTATGATCTATCACATTTTTTTTCAGGTATGGTTTTGTGATTATGAAGGGAATTGTTTTATTTTGGGGAGAAGCATGCTGGGATACTTAGGGGCAACGTCCTGGTGTCGACAGCTACTTACAAATGGTAGAGACAGAGGAGGGCAGGAGGAAGCCAGAGACGAGAGCGATGATAGCTGAGTCCAGGTCAGGAGATTCTGGGGGCCTCACAATAATTTCTGAACTTCCCTGTGCGTTTGAAGCTGTCGTCACACGAGTTGTAGGGAGCATAAACCCTGCCCTCTTCGTGTCTGGGCAGAGAAGGTGGATCTGTGTCCTGGGATGCCCTGGCTGGGTGGCATGAGCAGCAGGCAGGGCGTTGCCGCCCACTCTGGAGGCTGCGAGTCTGGGCTGGGGTGGCGTCTGGTCCTGCCTGCCCCAGGGCTCTCCTGCTACGAGGCTGGTGCTCCCTGGCGGAGCTGCATCTCCTGATCGCTACTTTGGGTTCCCGTGGCTTCTCCCTTTGGTCCTGCTGTCCTGATTCCCCCTTTCTCTCAGGACACTGGTGGTGTTGGATTGGCATCACCCTGCTCCTGCCTGAGCTCAGCAATGTCCAGATAAGGCCACATCTAAGGTAGGGGCATTAGGCTTCGGCTTATGAGTTGGGGATGGGTGACGCAGCCCTGAGGAGCAGGTGAGTGCCCGGCACCTTGGAGATGTCAGAGGACGAGGTGGGCTTGGCCTTCTCCTGACCATATGGGGCAAGGGTTCCCTCCTAAGTCCTCATCTGGGTGGCAGGTCCCTGAATCCCTGATGTGCAAGGGAAGCGTTAGGTCTTTGCCCCACCTGACAAGGTGTTGCCTGTGAATGGTGGTCACTAACCCTCTGTCCCTTGGTTTGCCAATCCCACGGCCCAGGCCTGGTGTCCCCCTGCCTGGGGTATTGCCAGAGGCTCCCAGTCAGTCCCAGCTGTCTACAGATGAGCTGGCCTCCCTTGAGCCAAATAGGACCAGGTGATTTTCTCCTAGTGACCTTCGCAGCCACAGGTCGTCCTGTTGTTATAGTTAAAGCTTCGTCCCAGGGGTTTCATAAACTGACTTCCAGACCACTCACGTATAATGGAATCAAGCCTTCACTGAAGCACACCGGTGGCGGCTGACCAGAACATAAAGCTGTTCCTCTGATCAGCCCTGAACAATTGCAAGGGCGCTCCTTGTAAGCCTGAAAACCGCAAAGGGGATGTTCGGGGGTCTAGCCAATGCAAGAAGCGGGACAGTGCAGTCAAGCGGAGGGAAGCCTCACCAATCCCAGTTAGCCCAGTCACCCCAGTTACAGAAACAGAGCCCCGTCACCCTAGTTACCCTAGTTTCAGAAACAATGCCCCATTTGGGTACTTTTGTGTTCTTAAAGGTTTCTATAGCAAGAGGAAAAGAACCTCTTGCCCCAGTCATGACTCTTCTACTTGGCCTGGTTGTTATGATGAAGTCATAAAACGAAATGGAGTCACGTTTGCTCCTACTATCACACTGTCCTCCCCACTCCTGGGCACAGCTCCATGGGCCCAGGCGGCCCTCCTAAGCAGAGCCCCTGTTCTCTTTGCCTCAGAGGCCCCGGCTCCTGTGGAATCCAGAGCCCTGTCACCAGGGGGTCATTTGCGCTGAGTTCTGGGTCTGTGCCCACCCTGGGCTGTGGCCTCCTTGTGGGAGTCCAGCGCAGGGTCTTCAGTGCGCTGGTCCTTTTGTTCCACCCCCATCCAGCTCCAAGTCCTTTCATCACCTGGCAAGGAGCCCCCCTGGCCACCAGGAACCTGCTTCTCCTCTCTGTGAATCTGCCCCTTCTGGGACTTCACTCTGGGAAGCGTGCGGTGGCTGTGGGCAGTGCTGGCTTCTTTCCCGCAGCGTCTCATTTTCAAGCCTGTCCTATTGCAGCATGCGCCAGTGGGGTATTTAGATCCCCCAGTCCCACCCCTCTGGGGTGCTGTCAGGAGCTGGCCTTCAGGAGGGGACCCTGCTGTGAAGGCGCAGCCCTCAGGGACGGGACTGTGCGCTTGGAGAAGAAGCTTCAAAGAAGTGCCCTCTCTCCACCATGTGAGGACAATCGGCTTCACAGATGGCAGGTGTGCTGGCCCCTGGAACCGGGAGAGTTAACAGTTGACTGTCCAAGGCTCCGAGTCTGTGGCACCTGGTTAGAGCAGCCAGCCCTGACCAAGGCAGTGGGCACGTTGAGCGGTGCTGCTGTGGACCCCCTGAGTGAGGATCCATCTCCACCTGTGTTCATGTCCTGTGTCCCAGGTGAAATTGTCGGGCAGGGGTCATGTTGATCTTGTTCAGCTGTCTGAGGAGCTGTGGTACTGCTTGCTTTCCGGGCCATGAGCCGTCCAAGCCTGACCCAGCACCTGCCTTCCCGGGGAGCAGGCCCAGTTCCCACAGGCACACTCCACCTGGGGGGCACCAGGGTGGGGGGCTCCCCTGTGGCTGGGAGGTGCAGTGTCTGTGTTAACCCCAGGTGGGAGGTCTGGGCCAGAGGAGCTGGGGTCCTGCCTCATGGCCCTCTGAGCCTAGGTGGACAGGAGTCCTGTGGCCAGGGAGACTCCTCTGAACAGGTCCAGGCTGTCCAGACAGGCCCAAGGCTGGGGAAGGGCCTATGCCATCCAGGCAGGTGCCCTGCCCTCTGAGCTCAGGAATGAGGGAGGGTGCTGTTCCTGGTTCAGATGTGGAATCTGAGCCTCAGAGAAGCCCAGGAACGGGTCAGTTGACCAGTAGGGTGTGTCCCTGATACCAGAGCAGTTATGCCTGAGTGGGGACATGATGACGTCTCCGTGTAATTGAAAGGGACACAGTGTGGTGCTAGAGTCTCCCAGGGCTGAGTAGGGACAGCACACAGTGCCCCTCTGAGCAGCAAGGGAGGCTAGGAGGATGCAGGTAGGAGGATCGTGGTTGCCAGGGTTGCCGAGGGAGAGGGGAGGGACGGCTTTGATGGTGCAGCGAGTCTGCTCTGTGTGCAGGACACTGGCGACCCTGTCATTCCACATGGGCTCAAATCCCTGGGACGCACAGCACCCAGAGCAAACCCCAGTGTAGGTGGGCTCTGGGTGACAATGGTGTGTCATGTAGCATGGTGACAAATGTGTCCTCTGTGTGGGATGTTGGGGGCAGGAGGCCGTGTACATGGAGACAGCAGGAAGCAGGATGCTCTGAACCTTCTGCTCATTTTTGCTGTGAAACTAAAACTGCTATGAAAATTAAAGTCAAAAGAGAGAGAGAGAGAGAGAGGGAGGGAGGGAGGGAGAGAGAGAAGGATTGAGACTGGGGGAGGGACAGCACCAGGCTGAGGGACTGTGCTGCCTCCTCTGGGGACAGTGGTGCATGGTGCCCACGGCCTTGTGCAGTGTGCTCCTGAGCAGCTGTTCAGGTGTGGGGGGCTGCGGGCTGCAGGTGACCAAGGACAGTCCCGGCTCCCGACTCAGGCCCCTCCCACTTTGTCACCACACAGTCGCAGATAGCAATAAGCCAGGCCAGAGCCTTTATTATCATGGAAGGGAAGGAGCCGGGAGGAAGAGGGTGGGTGAGGAGGCTCATGGGGTCTGTGTCTTCAGGGTCTTCATCAGCGGGCCATCAGCCATCCTGAGGGTACTTGGCACCACCCTCCAGGGGGAGGCAGGTGGACCAGTCCCGAAGGGCTGCCCTCCTCCGGCCGAAGCGGCCCACAGGCCTGATCCCCCGGCCTCTGTACCAGGCAGGATTGATGTCAGGAGCTACAAAGGGAAGAGCACAGCACCGCGTGGGACCCCCACCCCCAGGGTGTGTCGTGTGCCCAGAGGCGGCAGGTCTAGACCCACAGGTTCATCCCCACATGGCCCCCCAGCTGATGGCTGCCTGGTCACCAGGCCATGTTGGAGCCCACCTGAGATAAGGGCACCAGAGGGTCAAGGCCATGCCGAGACAGTAATGTGGCTTTGGAAATGAGAACTCAGACTTATACCGGGTCCACTTGCCCTTCTTGACCCCGCTCCCAGGTTCAAGAGAGACCAGGCCCAGCTGGGCAGAGGTGGGGATGGAGGGAGGGGACAGGGCTATCCTGGGAAGAGGGCTGGTCCCCAGGATGTCCTAGCAGGAGGTTGGCCCCCAGAGCTGGAGCGTGTGGCTTAGGAGGTGGCCCTCTACCCCTGGGTACTGAGCACCCACGGTCCCAGCACTCACTGCGGATTTCCATGGAGTGCTGCGGGGCTCGGCTTGCAGCCACCTGGAGGACAAGGCCCAGCAGCAGCAGACACAGGAAGCAGCCGCTCAGAGACTTCATGCCCCTGGCTTCTTGAACAAGGCCCCTCTGAGGGATGCCACACCAGGAGGGCACAGCCTGGGGACAGAGGGGAGGGCCAGGTTATATGGGCATGAGATGTGTGCACGCAAAGCCCAGGAACTCAGGTCACAAGAGCACGAGAGAGTCATGTGTAGGTGTCCGAGTGTGTGCACATGTGTAGGAGTGGGCTGTGCTGCACGGGTGTGTGTGTGTGTGTGTGTGTGTGTGCGCGTGCGCGCGCGCGCAGCCCCAACAGGAAAGTGTGTGAACAACACGTGTGAACATGTCTGTCTTGGAGCAGCCTCGGGTCTGTCTATCCTCGTGTGGTAGGAACCAGGAGGAGCCCTCCAGGCCTTGGGGGGTGGGGAGGTGGCCCCACAGAGCCCAGGGAGCCTTGGGGTGGAGGAGCACCTTGCCAACCTCAGAGGGTGGGGTTTGGGTTTGGGACCTCAGTGCTTAGTCCTTTACCACTCTTGGCCCAAGTCCTGCTGACACTGACCCCACCCACTGCCCTGCCCTGTCAGAGGACAGCAGCTGGTAGTCAGGTGTGACAGGACACTCAGCATCCTGGGTCCTTTCTGAGCATGCCCACCCCACCCAGTCTTAGATCCAGTCTGCTGAAGCTCTGAGGTGCAGGCAGCACCCGAACCTCTTCTCACACACAGGACACCCCTACAGATGACGGGAGCAGGCTGCTGTGGATGAGAGCGGGGACCCCAAAACCCTCTGTGCCATGCTGGAGTAGAGTTGCCCACCTACATAAGCAGTGTCCAGCTGAAGAGCCTGGTGACCCCTCCTCCCTGCTCCCACCTCGGCATTTCTGTTACCACTGGAAGGTGCCCGAGAGCCCTGTCTGTTTCAGAGGAGGGCCCCTCAGCTGACCCAGCCCCTCCCTGAGCTCCACAGAAAGAGCTGTCCATCAGCACTGAATAAAATGTCCACCTCTTTCTTGGGGAGTCCCACGCAGGGCAAGGGATCCCCAACCTAGAGGATGGAGGTGCTACCTTGAAGAGGAATAAACACATGCACCCACTTGGGCTGGCCCCTTTGCCTGTCCTCTGGAATAGGACCCAGGCCAGGTGAAGGGCATCTTGGAACGTCAGCAGTTTGGGGTCCTGACCCCAAGGACCTGTGTCCTGGAGCTGGGGACTTCCCTGCCTAGTGGGGTTCCCAAATAGAGCTCTGTGGACACCTCGGCTCACCTCTCCACCAGAAGAGCACTTGAGTGTCGGGGCTCCAGGTGGCTGGACGCACAGACCTGAGGGCAGCTGCCACTGCCCGTCCTGCTCAGCCCCAGCCTGGCTGCCAGGAGAACCGGCCAGTCTCAGGTAAACCCGGTCTACGCCTAACAAAGGACAGATCTCACAGAGCGGCTGAGCCGCGCCAGCCTCTCCAGCACCTGATGCTACTCACCGATCGATCTCCCTCCGTGTGGCGGAGCTGCCCTGGCTGCGCAGTGAGGCCCGGTGGCAGCCTGCTCACCTTTATAATCCATGAGGGAGCAGCTGACGCCCCCAGATGCCCTCCCCAAGCTGGCGCCTTTGCCTGCCGTCCCTAAATGTGCCATCTCCCTGAAGGGCGACACCAGGAGAGGACCTCGTCTTTTTTTTTTTCTTCTTCTTTTTTTTAAAAAACTCTCATCAGGGAGGTGATTTGTTCCTTCCTGAATGATATAATTTCATTTGGGCCAAGTGGTTTTAAAGCACATTAACCTCCCTCTTCGCGCTCGCCTCTGGCCAGGCTCCAAAGTCAAGTACCACGAGACATCAGCTCCAGAGCCTCAGCCCTCACCAGGAGACACCCCCGCCCGGGGCTCCTCTGTACACCTCTCTCTGAGTCAGAATCTTGGCTGAAGGCAGGACGAAGGTTGCCATCGCCCCATGCAGCCACTCTGCATCCTGCCTGGCCTCTCAGCCCTGCTGACCAGCAGCCCTTCCTCGGCGGGTGCACTGGCTCCGAGCAGACCACTTCTGTCCAACTCCATCATGAAAAGTCCGTCTTCTAGGCTCCCACAGTCTTCACAGCTAAGGTTCAATATAAGTTGATCCTACGCTAAAGCACGCAGCTTGATCTTTATTGCAAAACTCAAGTTTATTTTATTACAAATGCAACTCATACACACTGGGAAAAATTTAGTGCACACACACACACACACACAAAAGAAAAAGCACAGACAACCTCACAGAAGCCGCCCCCTTTTGGGTCTGGTGCTCTTTCTCCAGGTGAGCCTCCCATGCACTTTCTTGTCAGTTCGACAGATGTGGGGCTCATTCTTCCCACCTCATGCTGTAACCATGGCATCCTCAGTTGTGAAAATATCTACATATTTATGTCACTTACAATAACCATAGGACATTCTGCCATTTAATGTGGGCCTTAGAACTAAATCATCGTGTTCTGAGTAATTGTAGATTACGTTAAAGGTCTTTTGAGTGCAACTGAATCCCGTCTTCTTGAGGGAGCTGAGCTGGAGGAGACGCATCAGGTTGCCCCTCTTGGGTCTGTGCGGCGGGTGATTGATGGGCCACTGTCTGGGCCTCCTTCACACTTCTAGGGACAGCTCTGGGGCAACATGGCGCCCTCTGGGAACCCGCCTTCTCCTTCTTCCAGACCTGGCTGTCTATTCCAGGTCACGGGGGTTTCTGGCTGGTGGGCTCCCTGAGAGATCCGGTAAGGACTGGGTGGGGTAAGGGACTCTGGAAGGATCAGGTGGGTCACAGTGTTCCCCTGCAGATTGGAGTCACAGGGAAGCGTTAAAAACTTTCCTAATGCCTGGGCTCCACTTCTGAGAAATTCCACCTGAATTCCTGGGTGGGAATCGTGTGGTAGAGTGTGGACCTGTCTTGAAGGTAGGTGGTCCCCATGGGTGTGTGCCAGCCTGAGGGCCACCTGGGGCAATGGAGACCGAGACTTCAGGAGCTGGAGTGAGACTCGAACATCACCCTGGGAGTGTGAGTGTGTGCAGGTGTGAGAGTGAGTGTGTGCAGGTGTGAGAGTGTATGCAGGTGTGAGAGTGTGTACAGGTGTGTGTGTGAGTGTGTGCAGGTGTGAGAGTGTGTACAGGTGTGTGTGCAGGTGTGAGAGTGTGTACAGGTGTGAGTGTGTGCAGGTGTGAGAGTGAGTGTGCAGGTGTGAGAGTGTATGTGAGTGTGTGCAGGTGTGAGAGTGTGTGTGAGTGTGTGCAGGTGTGAGTATGAATCCTCCGTTCAGCACAGCAGATTAGTTGCACTGAGTTGTGGCACCTTGCTGCTTTGGGAGGCAGCCAGTGGCACAGAACAAAGGCCAGGTGTGAGCTGTGACTGCTCTTTGTAGCTGCCCAGAGCCCCAGGGCCACAAGCCTGGCCAAGCCATCTCAGGCTGCACCCAGCTTCTTGGAGAAGTGATCCCACAAGGGCTTTGAACGCAGTCTGGAGGGGCAAGCTCTTCCCCCACCTCTGTACCTGGGCCATGGATCTGGGGCAGGGAGGGCCGAGTACTCTTGGTCAGCATGGCCTGGTCAGGATTTCATCTAGGCCTCTTGAGTTGTGCATATGAACTTGAACCTGTGCATGTGAGTTCCCTCCTGGAGGAGGTATGACCCCACCGCCCTCCCAGAGCTGTGGGCACCTGGGAACAAAACACGCTTCGTCTTAATTTGCGGTTTGTAATCGCATCTTTTCCCTATTGACTGAAGTGGACTTCGTGGTTTTCTCATTTAGTTTGTTACTACAATAATAGATTTTTTCCTGACATTAAAAACTCCTGACTCTCCTGGAATGACTACTTGTTAAGGTTTTAAATACACCATTGGGTTTCACTCACTGATATTTTATTTAGAATATGTTTGCTGCCTTTAACTTTCCTTCCTCACAATTTCTGTTTTGGGATCCAGGTTTCCCCAGCCTTACACAGGAGCAGAGCTGCCCTCTGAGGGACTCCGAGGGGAGGCAGGAAGTCCCCACAGGGAGACACACAGGCAGGGCTTGGGGCAGAAGGGAGGGGATGGGAGGGTGGTGAGGTCCTGGGTCAGGGGTTTCTGGACCCAGAGCCAGGGGGCTGAGGGAGCTTGGGGGACACGGTCATGATGCCCCAGTTGAGGTCAGGTGTTTGGGGCCTGAGGGACAGCTGTGGGCCACCCTGTGGGTCTAAAGCTCTTTACTGAGGTCTCGGCCATGGACTTGGACAGCCTGGACGCAGGTGAGGAGAGGACGGGGACAGAGGGAGAGGATCTGTGAAGGACCCAGAGGAGGAATGCGGGAGGCAAGGGAGGAGCCCTGGGGGCAGGACTGTGGGGCCAGAGGGCAAGGCGGCCTTGCAGAGGACAGACCCTCCAGAGCCCCTGCAGCGCCTTCCTTGGCTGGTTTGGGTGACTCTCCCACCACCTTTAAGGTTTCATTGCACCTCAGTTAGGGGTGGGCGAGCTTCCTGTGCAATGGACCAGGGAGACGTTGTACCAGTACTGTGGCCTCTGGTCTCAGGGGCAGTGTACAAGGGAGTGGCGTGGCAGGACTGAGAGCTGGATATGGCCCCTGGGCGCATCTCTTGCTGGCAAGTTCTTCGTAACAGGTGTGTGTACTACCTGGCAGGACCTCATGCCCCACGGAGGGCCCATACTCCTGCTTCTGAAACCCCTTTTGTGAAATGGGAGAAGAGCAGAACTAAATGTGGGGTCATCAGAACACCCAAGTAGGCCAACACAGCCTGCTGCCCCTGCTGGGCCCAGCAGAGTCCCTTCATCTGGCATCAGCCACCTCTAGGTTGGCCACACCAAGGACGAAGCTGGCCCTGTGCATTCTCTAGGGTGTCTGGAACAGGGGGCTGTGGCTGCAGGGCTGGGGCACTCGCAGAGAGCTGGGACCGAAGAGCCGGGGGCACCTGCTGCAAGTCTGAGGAGTGGCTGCCAGTCAAGAGGGAAGAGAGGCCACAGCGAGGGTGGAGGGCATGTGAGGGCATGGCCAGGCCCCTGAGCTTCCAGAGGCTGGAGGAAGCTCTGTGCCTCCACCCACTATTTCACTTGGGTTCCTTGCAATGCAAAGCCCCAGGTTGGAGGGGCTCCGGGAGGGGCCCCGGCCCCGTTCTTCAGGTTCTCCTCCCAGCGCGGTGCTCAGCCTTGAGATCTTTGAGCTTTCGCCCTCCTTGTGGTACATGTGTGGCAATAATGGTGCCCTGCAGAGGTCACCCCCTCCAGTTGGTGTTCACGTGGGACCTCAGGATATGACCTTATGTGGAAATAGGGTCTTTGCAAATGCAACTCGTTAAGGAAGGCATACTGGATTAAGGTGGGCCCTACACCCCAGGACTGGTGGCCTTATAAGAAGGGGGTGGACAGACAGATACAGGAAAAGGGGGCGTGAGGGTGGAGGTGAGGCTGAGGGCTGCGGCCCAGCTGGGACCCCCAGAAGTCGGAAGAAGCCAGAACCGATTATGCTGAGAACTTGGGGGGGGGAGCCAACCCCGCTCACACTGTGGCGGGACTTCCGGCCTCCTGACCTAGAGAACAACTGATTATACTCTGCCCAGCATGAGGTGCTCTGTCATGGTGGCCACAGCAAGTGGACGTGGGCTCCATGAGCATGTTTCTGAGTGGACCGAGCACCCTTGTTTCTGGAGGAAACCGGTGTTCATGGCTTTGGCTCATGTGTGTCCTAAACATGGGGTTCTTCTGGGCCCCTAGAAGGGTGCTGTACCACCTGATGGGGACAAAGAAACTGGGCACCTGACCCTGGCCAGCTGTAGTGGTGGAATGGCCAGGTGCAAGGGACACTGTTAGCACAGGCCATTTCTGATGTAGATGTTGCTGAAATCTGAGTTCTTGAGAAAACTGACAAGGCTCACGTTGTGAGTAGGAAGCTGGGTTTGAAGGGTGAGTTGTCTAGAAAGGGAAGTCCCCCAAAGCCCCGGGGTGATGCCTGAGGGCAGCAACTTCAGGACAGCATCCTGTGGCGAGCAGTCTAATGGCTTCTGTCTGTGGACCACAGAGAACTGCAGACGGGCCTGTGGGTGGGGGACACCGCGACATTCAGTGGGTGGCATTCGGTCCCTTATCCTGACGCCTGTTTCCAGGCACCCGTGCAGACACGTGCCCTCTGCCCTTGCTCCCATGCACTCAGGAACACACGTCTGGCCGTGGCCCTCACGGGATGGCCTGTCCCCTGCTCCGTTCATGAAAGCAGTACCATAAGCCAAGAGGGAAACGGACAGGGTTGCGTGGAAAAGGGCTTCCGGGTGTTCTTCCAGGTTGACGGCCTTGTCCTGGAGGACAGTCACATCCTCTCTGCTGTGAATCACAGGTCAGAAGCCGCCTTGACCCATGTTTCTTCTCATTTCTCTCTGCGGGTGGGACTGTGTACAGCGGGAAGCCCAGAGCCCGTGGAGGACACAGCGGCTGTGTGGAGGCCCAATGGGCTTGCCTTGCTGCTCTGTCCTGGGCCCAGGGCCCTTCCTGTCAGGGCTGGTGGGCCATCACAGGTTTCTGAAGAGCACAAACACACATGCACACGTGAGTGTGTACGCAGACTCCCAGGCACTAGTATGCACACAGCAGCACGCAGGCACACGCACAGGTAAGTGACAGGTCCTCAGGCATGTGCAGAGAAACATGAATACAGTGCACAGACTCGGACGTTCAGGGATGTGCACGGGCACATTCCTGGGCGTGCCTGCAGGTGCCCACACTGGGTATGCACACACACACTCAGGCTACACCTGAGCATGCTCACACAGTGAGGGTCATAACCGTCCTGCCTCATCAGGCTGCCCTTGGCCAGCTTGGCACGTCTCTGCTGTTTGTGGTTTCTGCCTGTGTCCCCCTTCTGCCATCACTTTGGGAAAGGGATTTGAAATATGCCCTGAAAGTTACCTCACTTGGTGGCATTTTATGCAGAAGTCTGCAGGACTCCAGCTAAAGGCCTGAGCAGAGTTCTCTGGAGGAGCAGAGAGAAGCCCGGGCTGCGGCATGCCACGCCTGAGCCCCTCGGGGACACACTGGTCAGGAATGGAGCAGGCGTAGGAGCTACAATGGTGGCATTCAGCTAAATGCCCACTGGGCAGGCTCTGAGTCCAGGCCACGTGCCAGCCTCAGGGCAGCTCTGACTGGCACACTGAGACCAGCCATGGAGCACAGCACCTGCCATGGGCCGCTGTGGGAAGGGACGGGGCTGCAGGCAGAGGACTTCTCAGGCAGGACACCTCCCCCAACAGACACGGGCAGGTTCAGCCTCATTTTCAAGAACTGCTCTGAGAATTCCCAGGCAACTTTTTGAAAGAAGAGCAACGGGGAGCTCCGTCTTCCCTGGATGGCTCCCTCCTCCTCCCCCTTCCTTCTCCCCTTCCTTCCTAGGGGGCTGGGGACCCAACCCAGGGCCGCGAGCATCACTAGGCAAGGGCCCTGCCTTTGAGCTGCTTCCCCAGTCCCCTTGGGCACTTCTGGAAAGACCGGGGTCAGGTGACCCTCTCTCAAGCCCTTGTACCTGGTGTCAAGTTGAAGTGGCTGTTGGGGGGTGAGTGGTGGCCAGCAGGCTGAGCTGGTGAGACGTGGGCGGGGAGCTGAGGGCAGCCGGGGTGCCGTGGCCTGGACCTGATGTGTCCCCAGGTTTACACACTGCAGCATGGTCCCATGGGGCAGTGGTGAGGTGGTGCACCTTTAGGAGGTGGGGCCTGGTGGGAGCTCCTTAGGTCATTAAGGGGGTTCCTGGGGCCCTGCTCAGTTCTCATGAGAGCAACTGGTTCTAAAGGCCTGAGCCTGACTCCCGAGAGTTCCTTGGTGTCACCTGGTGAGCCCTCTTCCTGACACGTGCACATCTGGGGTTCAGGAGGAGCCCAGGAAGCGAACACCCCATAATTCTGGGAATAGCCTTCGACCCCAACACCTCACACCTGATTGAGGAGACCTGTGGCACTGGGTGGGCCCAAGGGTCCCCCAGGAGGGTCCCCACCACCTCAAAGCGGGCCTTCGTGGAGCAGAGCCCGCCCCTTTCTCTCCCTCTTTCTTTCTCCCTCTCCCTCTCCCTCTCCCAGGGACACAGTGGTCACTCCGTGACACTGCCTGTTTGAGCGTTTCTTCCTCGTCAGGACACTGTATCTTTAAGAAATGTCTCCAATTTCCTTTTGCAGATTTTACCTTTTGTTCTGGTTCTCTTCTTTTAATACTGAGGATTGAACCCAGGAGTGCTCTGCCGCAGAGCTGCACCCCCAGTCCTTTTTATTTTTTGAGACAGGGTCTTGCTAAGTTGCTGAAGCTGACCTTGAACTTGTGATCCTCCTGCCTCAGCCTCCTGAGTGGCTGGGATTACAGGTGTGCACCCTGCTCTCTGTTTTGAATTTTATCAGTTCATTCCAATTTCCCTCTCTCTGAAGACTTCATACCAACGTGTAAATCTGACAAGACTTTTAAATCTCCTCAGAAAGTGAGAGAAGAACTTACCGCGAAGAGGTGGTTGGCCGTGCCTTTCCTCCCGTTGGGGTTTCTCTGTGTCAGAGAGCCGCGGTACGTGGATTTCCGATCAAAAGACTCATCGTCCTTGCCTTTGGGGAAAACAGAAAAGGGGAAGCATTTTGTGAATCACAAACCCACCCTGAACAAGGGCTCTGCCACCTGAGAAAATTTAAAAGTACCCAAAGTGGACACAGCTCCTTCTGGGAAGTTCCACAGCGTGAAATATTTTTAATGAAACGTTTTGGCAGTTGTGCAAATCAACAGTCGAGATGTTCCTTCTCTGCTCTGGAGCCAGCACTGACCCCAACCTGGCTGTGGCCCCAGGAGTGCTTGTATGGACAAAACCCAGCGCTGGGTCCTGGGTCCTCCTTTCCCTTTTTATCTGTGACATGCAGCAGGCCTGTGAGGTCCTGGGACTCTGACCTCAGGGGAGGGTCTCTGCTCAGGGCCACAGCGTAGAGCTGAGCCCTGGCCTCAATCCCAGCCAGCATTTGCTTTGTGGTGGGGGGCAGAGCCAGCCTCGTGAACTCCTGCATGTCAGGGGGGCATCTGCTGACCCGAGCAGGTGTCCACGAGGAGCAGAGCAGGCCAGGACACAGGGCTCCCTACAGCCAACTGCGGGCATCTCTTCTGCACGCCGTGTTCAGGGACATGCCCACATCAGGCCCTCTCTGTCTCCTGCCTAGAGCTGGTGTCCCAGCACGGCTGGTGCTCTGGAACCCACGAGGCCCTACGAGAGGCCTTAACAGACCACGGTTCTCCCTTCACAAAGCCAGTCACAGAGAGACTCCAGGGGAGTCCCTGTTCTCTTGCGGCAAGCATGAGCCTCCATTTGGATGTCCGTCCATGGGACAGGCTGGACACTCACCTCGAAGGTCAGCCTGCAGCACTCCAGGGGCCCCAGTGGTAGCTCCTTGGAGTCACCTCCCTGCCAAAGTCCCCCTGGCTGGTGGCCCTGAGACCGGGGGCCTCAGGCCCTCTCTGGATGAGCTAGCTGTGCTAGGAGCTCAGACAGAGGGAGCTGTGCAGAGGCCATGTGACCACGGCGTGGGTGGGATGCGGGAGATGAGCCAGTGCTGTGGGGCAGGGGCGGGGCGTGGAGGCCATGCTCTCAGGGGCCCTGTGGACTCCAGGAGCGCTGTCCCCTGTGAAGGAGAGTGTATCACGGCCCCACAGGAGGCTGGCTGGGCTCCCAAGTGTGGGCAGACCCCACAGGGCTGCCCTGGGCAGTCCTACTTTGGGCAGCAGCAGGGGAGCCAAGGGCTGTCCGGGAGCTGAGGAGGGGCATGGGGAACCCTGTGTGGGAGGAGCATGGCTGTGGCCGAGTGTGGCCTCCAACCCCTGGGGATCCGCCTGCTTCTGTGAGCTGTGGCTAGGCTTTGAGGTGAGTGGAGCACACTCCTGGCAGGCGCAGAGGACCCCCAGGCCCCACCCCATCCGTCCAGGACAAAGCTAATGTCCTTGGCTCCACGAGAGTTCAAGGAGGGCCAAATGCTGCCCGCACGGAAGCACCAGAGGCTCTGTCACCACCCACGGCACCTCCGCCAGCGCCCGGCAGTGACTCCAACCACCTGGAACACCAGGGCAGTGGGCCCGAGTGGCAGAGCAGCATCGGGCGCAAGACCGTGCCACAGGTTCCAGAGAAGCACACCCAGCCTGACTGGCCACTTCCCTCCCCTGAGCCGGTCCCAGGCCACGGTAGGCCACGGTGAGGCACTCTTACCTGGAGATCTGAGGGAATAGCCCCTCCTGGGAAGGCAGGGCGCCCCTGTCACCTGGAAGAAAGAGAGCGGCTGTGGGCGTCACCAGGTGTGATGGGCAGGGACTCTGCCAGTTTGGGATTTAATGCTCTCTGGATTGTGACTTCACCAAGTCAGCTGTCTTCTGAACTTCTGTCATATCAGAGAGCATGTCCCTGTATGTCAAGCACCGAATGCCCGACTCCAGGAGACACTCAGTTCTCAGCAGTGTGTGGAAAGAGCACAGGGTCCAGCCCCAAGGACCTGGGCTCAAATCTCAGTGTGACCTTACACCATGTGACCTGGACTCAACCTCTGTGAACCTCAGTCTCCTCCTCTGTAAAGTGGGGCCGTGGATATTTAACTGTGCCTGACACATCTCCCAGCTCCCCATGGCTGCTGGTCCCACACCCTCTCTCCCTCTTTCCAGAGGGCTGCCTCTGTTCAGTGTGCTAAGAAATTCAGTCTCCAGCCTTCCTAGGAGTGAAGAGAGAGCCCAGTGGCCTCCTTCCCCAGGGTCCAGGCCCCCACATCCCGGGGACATTTCCTGGGTGTTCAGGAAGAAGGTCATGAGGCCGCTGGAACCCTCAGTGCCTGGGCAGGGAGGGGCACGGGTGCCTGGGTGTGTGCTGCCCTGGGCACCCCTGGCTCATGGCTGGTGGGTGCGGAGGGACCAAGGCTCCTGTTATCCCACTCAGGATACCTGCAGGGGTGGCCTCTGTGTCCACGAAGCTCCTTGAAGGACTGAGCCAAAGAGTCCACATGGGGTTTGCTCGATGTCAAAGGCTGGACTCTGTCCCTTCTGTGGCCTCTTCTCCACTGCCCAACTGGGTGTCCCCAACAAATACTCCTACACAAATCCTGCCTGTGGGTGCCTGGGAGGAGCCGCCCGAGGAGCTGTTCCCGGGGTGCGTAGGAGCCCCTCACCCCACACTCTGTAGCGGTTCCTGAGCTCTTGCTCTGTCCCGCCTGGGTGGGGGTCAGAGACGCACCTTGCCCTTGTTCCCAGGGTCTGCACTCGGGTCCTTTGGACTCCTGCCAAGTTTCCCAGCAACTCGAGGAAGAAATATCTGAAGGGAAAGGAAGAAACTTCAGGCTGTTACGGCCCCGCTGAGCAGCAGGCCACGGGCAACAGTTGGGGCGGCCAGTCGGACGCAGGCTGGATGCTCTCTGTGCTTGGTCAAGAATGTTGGGAGGGCACTTCTGACCCACACATACTGCTCCATGTTTCTGGGATGAGTGCTGCTGGACTTAGTAATTAAAATCAGCACGCCCAGCTAACTCGCAATTCAAGATCTCGGTAAGAAGCGTGTCCCAAGTTGCGTGGAATATGTTTGCACTTCAACATTAACTTGCAAAGTTCCCTGGGCATCCTGCATTGACCTGGAAACCCCCTTGGGAGTTCCTTTAAAAGCATCTTTCATCCTTGTGCCAAATTTCCTTCCTAGCAGAGTTTTGTAGGAAGCCTCCTAACTGGGCTGGGAGGAGGGTGCTGGGTTCAGATCCTGATAGAGGGCACGTCCCTTCACCCTCATCTCCCCACCCATCTTAAAATGGCCATTCATCAAACCCTCCAACTCAAGGTTTTATCATCTAAGCTTCTATTTTTTTTTCAGGGGAACTGGGGATTGAAGTCAGGGGCACTCGACCACTGAGCCCTATCCCCAGCCCTATTTTGTATTTTATTTAGAGACAGGGTCTCTCTGAGTTGCTTAGCATCTTGCTTTTGCTGAGACTGGATTTGAACCTGTGATCCTCCTGCCTCAGCCTCCCAAGCTGCTGGGGTCCCTGCATAAGGGAGAACAACAGAAAATAGCAAAACAGCCTCAGCTGGAGGCCAACACAGGGCCTGGCTGTTCAGCACAGACTGGCTGAAGGAGGAGGCGGCACTGTGGCTCCCGGGAGGCCTGGACCCTCCACTCACCGGCAGGTTCGACCTCCTCCGGGGCTTTCCCGAGGGTTTCACCGTGAGCCCCGCGGCCCTCAGGGCTGCGATCCTGGCCTCGATGTCTGACACCTGGACAAGAGCAGACAGACGACTAGGCGGCCAGACAGGCACCACTGCGATGCCCCCTCCCAGAGTCACGGTCAGAGACAGCAGCTGTCCCCAGCTCATAGGTAGAACCAACCATAGTGGCCTCCCCTGGAGACTGGCGCTCAATCAAACGCACAGCCTGAGGTCCCCTCGTGGGTATGGGAGGCGTGCTCTTGTGGGGCACCCAGGCCGGTGGAGAGGCTCTGTGGATTTTCTGGGGGTGTTTCAGGAGGCCTGGCTCCCGCAGGCATGGGCACCCTCGGGTACGGGCAGCTCTGGCCTATGCAGACCTGACACTAGAACCTCCCTGCCCTCCTGGGCCTTCCCTCTGACAGACAGCAAGCTGTCACCCTGCGCCATTCAGAGCCCCCAGTGTCCCCCCCACCCAGGTTTAACTTTCTTGCCTCTTTTCCTTTTTAGGGGTGGGGTCAAACCCAGGGCCTTGTGAGAGCGACCTTGTGCTCTGGCACCGAGCTTCGCCTAGCCCCTCCCTGCAGTCTGCTCTGTGGCCTCCGGGCCTCTGCCGTCCACCTTCCTCCAGACCTGCCTCCCTGCCCCTCGTCGCTGCTGTGGTCTGGGTTTTTGGGCTGGGCCCTGGCACACGCCGTCCCCGCTGCCTGGACTCCCGCCTCCTGTGGGCGTCCCTCCCTGGCCTCCACTCAGAGCCCCGCTCCAGGCACTCTGTGGGCTCAGCCTTGCTTGATGTCCTCGTAGCTCTGTGTCCTCCCACTAAGACACGGGTTCCACGAAGGCCCGGCTGGCTGTGTCCCCGGGCCTGTCCCACACCTGCCACATTCTGGGAGGGACTTAATGAACGCACAGTCCTGACCCCACCCTGTTCCTGCCCTCTGATTGGGCTGGGGGACCTGCCTGTCTTCCTCAGGTGCTTGCTGAAGGGCCAGGGCCACAGGCTGTCCCTGAGGTCTGGGTGGAGGGCTCCGGAGGAGGGGACGGCAGTGCCCACCTGCCCAGGGCTGTCCCTGGGGGCTCTTGTGATGGCTCTGGCCTTTGGCCTGTACACCAGGTATGCCCCTCACCTCAAGCTCTGCAGCCACCGTTCAGCCCCACGTGGCCCTGGGCTGAGTCCCATCCTGCGCCCGGCTGTCTTAACTTCTCAGCTTGTGTCCAGCCCATGTATAGGAAGGGAGCTGTGGGCATCCACATGGTTCCCCGGGGCTGAAAGCCCGGCCTGCCCATCACCCAGGCCTAGGCCAGGGACAGTGGTGGGTGGGAGATCTCATTCTGCCTTCCCCAGTGGGCAGGGTCTCCGGTAGCCTCTGGGTGGACTGCCGGGGTCTCCGAGCCCACAGGTTGGCCCCAGCCCCTGGGTCCCTGTCTGTCTGGGGAGCTGCACTCCCCGCAGGTGGGACTACCTCACTCTCAGTATGCTGAACTTGGGCAGCTGTCGTGGCCACTCTGTCCTCCAGCTCCGACAGCTCCTCATCCGTCGTCCAGCTGGGCTGCACGGGGCCCCTGGGGCCCTTTTCCTGGGCATCGGTGGCTGTGCACACCTAGGAAGAGAAGGGTTGGGGCTGGCTTCCATCAGCAGGGACCACAGGACACTGTTTTCTGTGAACTCCCCGGGTGCGGTGGGTCTCCAGGTCCCCAGAATGGGTCACTCCATTCTGCTCTTATCAAGGGCCTTTGGTGACCCTCCATGATTGGCTGCCTGACCTGGGGAGAGCCCATGGCTTAGTCACACACCACTGGCCAGCAGGGACTGTCCACCATGCTCCTGCCTCTGCTGTATCCTACAGAGACTGCTGGGGAGGCCTCACCTCTGGGCCCGGCCTGGGGAGGGCCCTGCTGGGGGTGGCCACATCCAGCTGGGTCTCTTCTTCCCTGACCTGCTCCTCCTCGGACGAGGTGCCTTGGTCACTGATGTTTCTGGTCAGGTCCTCCAGCTTCCTCCTCAGAGCCTCCTCCTCTCTGTCGGCGTCAGCGCCTGCTCCGGCAGCCGGACCCTGACAGAACAGGCAAGTGGCGCTCAGCAGCCTAGGAGCTGGGCTGGCCCAACACGCCCAGGCCCCTGCTGGAGCTGAGGTCCCTTCTCTAGGGAACCTGTCCCCAGGCCTGAGGTGACACCATGACCCATGGCCATTCAAGACTTGCCATTTTCTCTTCCCTCCCTTCCCTTAAATGCATTTTTTTATTGAGTCAAAACATTTATGAAATTTACCATCTTAACCATTTTAAGTCTATGGCTCTGTGTCACCAATACCTTCCTACCACTGTGCAGCCATCTCGGTCACCTGCCCACAGGTCCCTAATCTTCCCTGAGACTGTCCCCATCAACACGAGCTCCGCAGCCCTCCCCCAGCCCCAGCAGCCACCACCCTGTGCCTGAGGACCTGGCCCCCGCCGCGCCTCCTGGAGGTCCTCATGAGCGGCTTGACCTCGGAGTCTGGCGGACCCCACTTGCACGGCGTCCTGCAGGCGCTCCCTGGTGGAGGTGTGCCAGGACTGCCTTCCTGTTTGGGGCTGACCTGCTCGGGCAAGATGAGAGCTTTCCCCTCTGCCTCCCCAAAGGGCCCAGGCCTGCCATTTCCCCCAGCCCTGGAGCTGAGCCACTAACCATCACCACAGCCCTGGGCTGTTCACACCTTGCAGCGGGGCTGAGGCTGGGGAGGGACCCAGGCCCGGGGTTCTCCCTGTCTCCAGTGTTGACTGAGACACGCAGGCCGTGAATCTCCGGGCCCTCATCCTGGGGCGCTGGGCTCTGTCCTGGACTTGCTTGCCCACAGGAACATTCAGGTCTCCCATTATGGTGAGTCTGCGAGGTCCAGGCACAGGCGGAGGCGCTGTGGCACACTCCCATGTCACCTCCCAGTAGAAAACAGGCCCAGACTCCCCAGGGGCGGCCGCGGACAGTGGGGCTGTGAGCTTCAGGAGACTGGGGGCGGGGTGTGGTTTGAGACCCGGCAGTGGGGTGTCCTTTCAGGGCAGGCCCCATCCTTCACAAGGGACCCTGCTTGAATTCAGAGGCAGGGAGGCTGGCCAGCCTAGGGAACCTGTTTCCTCAACTTAGGCGACATTTCTAGAATCCAGAATGTCTCTGAATGCTGGGTTGGTCAGTGAGAAGCTCGGAGCTAACCCAAGCACCCGTGGGCCAGTCTGAATCTAGACTTCAGTTACTTCTCTGCAGCCTGAAATGGTGTTCAACGTTGGCAATTTCAGCCTTGACTTTTATAAGTGGCATTAGGACTGTAACTGGAGTTGGCCCATAAAGAGGTTGGAAGGGAGAACTAACACTGACTGTGCTCCTGCCCAGGGCTGCCTGGAGCTCACTTGGTGGATCCGAGCTTTTTCCGTGGGTGGGAGGCAGGGGCTTGGAGTCCTGAGTATCTTTGCCCGCGGACTCTCAGAGAAGAGGTCCAGTCCAGGGCCCGCGCCCTCTCCACGCCGGCTGCGGACCCCTTCACGGCTATTTGTGGAACGTCTCCTCTGTGCCCCGTTGCTCCTGGTCACACAAAGGCAGTGCTGATGCGTGAGCGTGAAGGTGTGTGTGCTCCCCTGGTGCCTCATCTGGGGCAGTGGGGGCCTACGGCAGGTTCTGCTGCTGCTGAGTGTGAGCTTTCCAGGGAGGGGTCCGTCCATGTGTCCGTTCCAAGAAGGTATCAGAGTTATGTGATAAAGGTACAAAAATGGCAAAATTGTCTCAATGATCTTTGACAGTGAACATGACCCCACACTCGGTGAGGTGACTGGAACGTGCCTCCGTCTTCATAGAGGGCCACTGCGTCCTTTAAGGTTTGCTCAGGCGGAAGCTCCGGGAATCGCCCTGGACCCCCCTGGTTCTCATCCAACACCCATTCCTGTTGGCTCTGCCTGCCCGAGGCATCCGCTGCCCGGCACGAGGGATCCGCTGCCCTGCTGGGTTCCACTGCACCTTCTCTTGCCTGTTAATCCCAGCCTCCTACCTGGCCTGCCTGTTTCCACCTGGCACCCCAGTCTGTTCACAGACCTGGCGAGATCCCTCAGCTGGCTCTCCTGCGCCCAAACCTCCCCTCTCTCCAGAGTCACAGGCAGAGGCTGGAAGATGGCCTTGGAGTCCAAGCCGTCCTTTACCTCAGCTCTCGTGGTCTGCTCGGCGATGGCTTCCGTGTGTCCCCAAAGCTTACATCCTAGGAATTCAGTCCCAGGTGGTGTTGGAGGTGGGGCCTCTGGGAGGGAATCAGGATCAGAAGAGGTCATGGGGGCTCCCAAGGCGGCACTGGTGGCTTTGTGAGAAAGAGCCTGAGCTAGCATGTTTCTCTGCCCCGCTGTGTGAGCCACCTGCCATGATAGGAGGTGGTGAGCAGGCCGTGCCCAGGTGCCAGCGCCTTGCTCTGGGGTGCTCCAGCTCAGGACCTTGGGGAACACATCTCTTTATATCTCCAGTTTTGAGTATGCTGTGAGAGCAACAGAAAATGGACCAAGAGGCCTCTCTGCCTAGCCTCACCCCCAGTCCCCTTGCCTCGGGCTGCTCTCTGGCCAGAGCACTCTGTGCCGATGGCCGCCCAGTGGCCTCGAGCCTCCTCTGACCAGGGGCAGCCCCACCTCTTGGCGGGGTGCCTCCACACTCCACTCAGGATGGCACCCTGCTCCAGTCCCTCTGGCCTCACTCTGCTTTTTCTCTGGCCTCCTCGGCATCTGGCCCTCGGTTCCCTGTTGGGTTGCTTATCTCCTCCTCCCTGACGGGAGCCTCACTCCAGAAGGGTGCACACTGGGCAGGAGCCAGGGCCCGGCCTCCAGCAGCTCCCCAAAGTCGCGGCTCTCTCTAGGTCTCAGGTTCACACACCCCGTCAGTAGCAGGGCCGTCCGGACAGAGTGCCTTCCTCCCCTCGCTCACTCCCCACCCCACCCGCCCACCCACATTTCCACCGCTTCGCCCCCACCGCCGACTTTTGGGGACTGCCCCCAGGAGAATCTCAGCTCTTCCTCCTCGCTGCCTCCCTCCTTCAGAAGTGAGTCACTGAGCGCCCCAAGGAGGGACAGGCCTCTCCACCAGGAAGCTGTCACGGCGCCCGGGCCCCAGGCAGCATCGATCCCTCCTGGCCCACTCTCCTGGGCAGCGGAGGATGTTGCTCACGACCATTTGATTTTCTGTTTGAACGAAGCCTATGAAGATAGATGGACAAGCCTCACTGCCAGGGCCTCACAGAGACACCAGGAGGCTGATTAGACTGCACTGTGGCCGGTCTTGTCTGGGTCTCTTCCATGATTCTATGTTCTGAGGAGGCTCAGGAGCCCAGTCTCCTCAGAGAACGTGTAGGAGAGGACCTGGGTGACAGGTGGCCTGCAAGCTCTGCTGGGTCCTCTCAGAACAAGACTTTATTCAGGCTATAGGGAATGAGCAGCTTCAGGCCCATGAGCAAGGGCAGGCCGCTGGTGGGGGGGGCATCCATGGGTACCCTAGAGAGGCAGGTCTCGCCTCCACCTTGTCTCCACAGATGCAGAGGTACACATGGGCCTCCGACCTACGCACACACCCATGCGCCCAGTGCACGGCCTAACGCACCTGACAGGATATGGTCAGGGTGACCGTCACATCCTCGTCAGCTAGGGATTTCCAGGTGTGAGCACCAGAAGTCCCTTGTCCCCCTTAGGTCCCCTGCCAGCCAGGACGTCAGTCACCTGCATCCAGCACCCTCATGATGCTCGGGGGCCTGCTCCCCCACTGTCAGAAACCTCACTGGCTGTCAGGGGTCCTGGGCCCAAAGGGCCCAGCAGGGAGGTCCTGTGAGCCCTGGGGAGCAGGCCCCTCTGCAGCCCTGGGCTCATCCACGACATCAGGTCCACTTGACCCTGCCCAGGGATTTGTGTGAGGAGGAGGACAGAGTGAGGAGGCACCTACCAGAGTGGAGCAGGAGAGGCCTCCTGCAGGCCACGGGAATGGGTGGACCGAGGAACCATAGTCCTGGGTCAGCAGGAGGAGGAAGGAGTAGAGCAGGAGGAGGGCAGAGGAGGTGAGGGACAGATGGACAGTGTCCTTCCAGGAGGCAGAGCTGGAGCCTGAGGGTACCTGGGCCAGCATCCAACAGGAGCCCGTGGGCAGACTGGGGGCTGGGGTGGGCCCTGTGGCTCTGGGGGCCACGGAGCCTTCGTGGGAGCTTCCTGAGGGAGGAATAGCTCTGCCCCAACCGGTGTCGGTCCTGGGCTCCCTGCAAGTGGCGGGTGAGTCCTTCCTCAGAGCTCGGCTTGGCTCCTCCTCTCTAAGCTAGGGAGGGAAACGTCTATCCTGACGGGACGCCTCGAGAGCCCAGCCCACGACAGGTGTGCAGCTGCAAACTTGGGGTGCTGCAGGGAGGGCACCGAGGCCCTAGGCAGGCGAGTGGCTGCGGCTTGACTGAAGGGCGGCCTGAGCCCACCCGCTCTGCACCTGCGCCGCCGCCTCAGACACGGGATCCCAGGCACTCCTGCTCGCCTGCGTTAGGCCAGGCTGCGCTTGGTTACTGCTGTACGGTAGGTTGCCTAGGGGTCAAAGGTGTCCCCGAAAGCCCATGTGCACTGCAGGGTACATAGAGAGGGGCCTAAGTCAGAGGCACCTCAGAGGTGCCCCTGTCAGACTTCCCAGCCCCAGAACCGTGAGCTGACAAGTGTCTGCCCAGTTTACATCACAGTCTGCTGTATTCTGTTAGAGGGGCACAGACAGGCTGCCGCGCGCGCGCTGCGACGTGCTCCTGCTTGTGGCCTGGCCCCAGGGGCTGCGGGAACGAGTGAGTGCCAGGCAGTTCTCCCCTGGCTCTGCCTCCCAGCCGCCCTCTGAGAAGGCTGTGGGTCTTCTGAGCTCTCGCACAGCTGAGTGCAGGGCACGGGAGTGGGCCTGGACGGGGCGGGTGACCTCACACGGGGGTCTGTGCAGGGAGACACCTGCCCTTTGAGCTGCACACGTGGGTTCACGGCTATGAGTCGTAGACCTCAGGCAGAGCCAGTGTGGACAGCTCGGGCCCCTCAACCTGGGGGCTGCGGGCTGTCCTGCTGGCCCAGCCCCACACTGTGCCCTGGGCTGGGGGAGGCACAACCGTGTTCTCCAGGTGCCCAGCAGGTGCTCCACGGCCAACACTCACTCAGCTGGAGGATCGGGGCCGAGGCCAGCCCACTCCCAGCAGCAGGACCCTGTGCCCACCACCTCCGAGCCCTGAACTCCCAGGAGAGGGAGGGAACGCCAAGGCTGCCCACCCCAAGGCCTGGGAAGGTCACCAGAGACGCAGGGAAGTGACCAAGCCCGGCAAACGAGGAAGCCACACTGAGGGCTCTGACATGTCATTACTGCCCACAGCTCTCGTCACCACTGACACCGATCGGCACAGGAAGGTGTGAATCAAGCAGGACACAGTGACCAAACCAAAGCCATTAGCTAGCAAGAGCCCTGGGTCACTCGCTGGCCAGCAGTGACTCCAGGTGACATGGCAAAATGACCAAAAGCCCCACTTCCTCATCCTTGAGTCACCAGACCCTGAGTCACCCGAAGTCTATTAGCTCCCAGATGGAGAAGGAAAATCAATATTCTTTGGCTGCCGCAGGCAGAGGCGCCGCCCCTGCATGCATTATCTCCCTCACAGCCCCGCAGCCCCGGCTTTCAAAGGGAAGTGGCACAGGACACGCGCATTGCCGGGAGGTGATTAGTCTCATCTCCACGGCACCGAGGGCTTTGAGTGGGAGAGGCGCAGACGCTGGAAACGTCCAGGCCGGGGTGTGCGCTGGCCGTGGCCCTCGCCTGCCTGAGTGCCGCTGCACGCAGAGACCAGCGCGGCCGCTGTCAGCGTCTGCAGGGCGGCGATCAATACCCGCAGGAGCGGCTGGGCAGATGGCCTTGTCTCCACACACGTGGCACACGTGGGACTCGAGAGGAAGCAGCCCCACCCAGAGCACGCCTGCTGAGCACCCCTGGAGGAGGCCGGTGGCTGGACTGGGGAGGTGACCAGCTGGGGAGGCCAGGGCTGGAAGGTCAGCGGGGTGAGGGGCTTGGTGCTGCCTTCCGACAGGACCCTGGCTGCGGCCAGACTCTCCCAGCTGGGAGGGGGCTTCCCTCTGGTATCCAAAGCCTCTGGCTGCCTTCTAGATAATCCCAGGGCACGGTGGCTTCTTGGGCTCTCACAAGGAACTTCAACACATCTCCTTTTGCCTTTTGCCAAAATGGCAGAAGGAAGAATAAGCAGCTTAATCCTCCATGTTGATAATAAGGGAAGAGCTGGGGGTGGTGGGCACACTCGTAATCCTAGGGACTTAGGAGGCTGAGGCAGGAGGATCTCAAGTTGGAGGCTAGCCTCGGCAACTTAGTGAGGCCCTGTCTCAAAATAAAATAAAATGGACTGCGGGTGTAGAGCGCCCTGTGGTAAGGGAAATCTGCCCCCTTCCTTCCTCTGCATTTTCTTTCAGGATTTCTTTCTCTTTCCTTTTCAAGTGTTTGTAAGTCTTCATCAAGGGCTAAAAGCTCAGGACCCAGGAGCCGCCTTTTTGAAATGCAAACAACAGGACAGTCTCCTGGTTCCTTTGTGTGGCAGAGGGGAGGGGGCCCTGTGTCAGTTTGCAGAACTACCTCCTGCCTAAAGACAGAATTGGGTTTCTTTTCCAGGTAAACCAGCACAGGTGGTCTTCTCCTTCAGTCTATGACAAAGTCAGGGCAGCCTGTGTGACAAGAGGCTCTGTCAGGTCCTGTCCCTGAGGACTGCTTACTGCTTATCCTGAGGGCATGGAGGACAGGGGAAGTTGGGTTGGGTCCGGGCGGGACCCCTCCCAGCCTCCTTCCCAGCCTCCCTCCCATTGCCTGGGTGTGCATTGGATTCTGGTTTTATATTTATTCAATAAAAAACCTTTTCTTTTTCTTGTGGAGAGGTATTCTGGGAAAATATTTTTGGGTTTTAAAAAATTGTGTGGTGACAGCATTGCATGGGGTGGGGCTCCAGGCCCTGCCTGGGCTCCAGGTGTGGGTCTGCCTGGTGCCTAGATGTGTATGCACGGGAGTCCTGGCAGGAACCCCTGGGGCTTCAACTTGCATGCGACAAAACCAACAGATGCAGTTTAGACATGCACCACAGACAGACCTGGGGTTAAGGGGAGCCCTGTTGGCCCCGCTGATGCTTTCGTGGAGAAACTGAGTCAGTGTCTGCAACAGGGCCGCCAGGGCATGGATGGTGCTCCATGTCCTCTCCCCTCCCCATGCAGCCCTCTGGGGGCTCCTCCACGGGGCCTCTTGTGCTCTCCTGATTGTGTCCCCCAGAAAGTGGCAACCATGAATGCAGAAGCACAGGCGGCCGCGGCCAAGTGGACCACTTAAACACCCTTGGTGGCTCTGGGCCCGTGCGTGTCTGAGTCCTGGTTCAGGAACCCTGGTCTGAGGGTGGGTGGGCTCAGAGGGCTTTCTCTGGGGTCCTGCAGAGACCTCCCCAAGACAGGCTGGGGCTCCTCACTGAGGGGCACGCTGCTGGCCAGCAGGGGTTTAGGCCAACTCCCTTCATGTGCAGACTGAGGGACATCAGGGAGGGCAAGTGCTGTAGCAACAGTAAGTAGGAGGAATAGATACCGAGAAGGGGTTCCAGAGATACCGCCGCAAACAAGGAGCAGCGGAGCACTGCCCAGGAGGGACCCTTCGACCGCAGACCTGCCAGACCCCCTTCCTCACAGGCTGAATGGCATGCCACCCTGTGGACCCGCTTGTGGTCCAGCTGAGGGTGGGCACGTGGGCTGCTCCCCAGTTCAGCCACGCATCACGGTCCACGCTCGGGGGCACAAATGCCTCTGAGTCCCTGTTTTCCATTCTTTTGGGGGCAAACCCAGAACTGGAGTGCTGGACCTCAGGACAGCTATCTTTTTATTTTACTTTACTGATTTATTTTAGGAACTGCCATAATAACACGGTTAGCTTTATCTTATGTGAATTCACTTCAATAAAAAAGGCATTTGATGCTGTCTCTGCACGAAACAGGTGATTTCACTTTGCAAGTAAGTACTGAAGGGTTAGTTCCTCTAAAATGGCGCGTGTGAAGTACACGCCTCTACACTCGAAAGCCTGGATTCTGTCAAGCCCCGGTACCTGGCTCTGGGCTGCCGTCTGCCCTCTCCATCTGCTGCGCTGGGCGGCCGCCGCGGTGGCCCAGATGCTGTTTTCGTCAGAACTGTCCACGCTGGGCAGGTACAGCGAGGGCAGCTGCTTGTTCCGACTGGGCTTCATCCCTTGGAGAGAGAGAGGGTTTGGATTACTTGGAGGGAAAGCTCAGAGTCGACACACGTGCTCTGTCCAGATGAAGAAGAACCAGAGACCAAAGTGAAGCCATGGCTAGGTTCCTCTGCTGCTCTGGGTGGGGACTCTGAAGTCACAGGGAGAAGGGGCGAATCCGTAGCCCCCCCCCGCCCCAGGTCATCAGGGAACAGAGCTTGGGGGCAGAGCTTTCGTGTTTGAAAGCAAATTTAACATGATCCCCAATTCTAAACCACACCCAATCCCACATGTGTGGAGGGCAGCGGGCTGGGAGGTGTCCACAGTGGGGGTGACTTTAGGACATCTGCCCAGCAACATGGCCTCTGTGGCTGTTTTCTGTCAGACCCAGGATTCACAGGCCTTCCTGGTCCTGCCCCACAGTGTGGCTGGAGATGCTTATTTCTGGGCTCCAGGGGGAGGTAACGTTGCTATCACCACGTCCTGACCAGAATGTGCCCTCCACGCCCCCAGCTGGCACCACACACAGCAACACGGGCAAGTCACACGGAGAGTACTGTGCACCAGCTCACTCCCCAGAGCCCAGGACACCTGCCCGGCTCTGCCCCTGACGCGCAGGGACCATGCTGCACTGTGGGTTCTGCCCACCCCCGAGCAGGCATGGAGACCCTGTGCAGAGGCACACAGCTAACCCGGCCTGCCCGCCTGGCCCTGGTGTTGAGATCACCGAGTGTTGTTCAAGCTGCTACATTTGTGGCAACCTGTTATGCAGCAGGGGTCGACAGAGACGGCCATCTCATTCGCTCTGTGGGGCTAGACTCAACCAGTGTCTTTTCTCTAACGAGGACGCCGAGGCCGGAGGGTGGACGTTCATGGCAGAGCACACCAGGCCCATCTCTCCGCAGCCCTCCAGCCCGCGCCGCTCCATTAAGAGACAGCAGGCCGAGCTCTGGGGCGCCCCCTCTGCCAGCTCCCTGGAAGACACCCCTCCTCATCTGAGAGACGCTGGAAAGCACAAAGCATGGGCGCCTGGTGAAGGGCTGGGGGGGGGGGGCTCCACGCCCAGAGGGCCCCCTGCAGGGCGCCTTCTTCCGTGTCCCACCTCAGCCCCTCGCCTGCCTGCCTCCTCCATGTGCCAGGTGACCTGAGGTCACAGGAGGGAATGAAAAGCCACCAGGGCTTGATCCCTGGGCTGCCTGTGGGGTTCATTCGTTCATTGTTTGGGGACAGGGAGTGCAGTCCCACCTTCCAAAGCCCCCAGTGCTGTGGTCTCAGAACAATGGAACGGGACAGGCTTCCCACTCCCAGCTGCTCGCAGTCTGCGGTGCTGCCTCTGATCTCATTTGCTCTGACTCACGGGGTGTCTGAACTCCTGAACCCGCATGCTCCCTGGGGCCCAGGAAGGCAGAGATTTCATTTAGAAGCAACACTGTCTTGACAAAATTAAATGGAACAAATTCAGGTTGTCTTATTCCAGGGTCCCTGATTGTAACCAGGGGCACCCAGACAGGACCCACTCCATCCATAGCCAAGTGCAGCCTCAGGCCTGGTGGAGCTGGCCTGGCAACCGGGTGACCGTGGCCACTCTGTGAAACCTGCATGTCCCTACCCCAGCCAGCAGCGTGAGTCGGGCATGGTCAGCCCCTCTGCCGGTGTTTTAGGTGCCACAGGGAAGCACCCAGCCCAGGGAGAGCCGGGGTCCTCGGTGCTTGCCAGGCAGCACACGCGGGTCAATCGCGTGGGAGAAGGGGCTCTTCTGAATCACCCAGTGTGTGTGCACTAATCCAGTGGACAGGGGAGGTGCTCAGCCACCCCTGGCCCACCCAGAGCCCATCTGGAAGACCCTGGACAACAGCACCCACCGGGCACAGTAGCAGGCCCCAGGGCCATCTTGCAGGAGTCCCCAGGCAGGCACGGTTCAGCAAGGGCATCCTGTCCAGTAGGTGGGGGGCTGTCTGGATGCTCCTCTGGATGGGGATGGCACCTGGAGGTCCTAGCATGAGCCTCTTCCAGGATGGCATCCTCCTGGGAAGTGGCACCCTCGGAGCAGGGCTCTCCTGAGAGGAACTGAGGACAGGGGCCGTCAGCCTCCCCAGTCCTAGGAACTGGGTCCTTCCAGCCCAAGTCCTGAGGGGCCCAGGCCTCACGTGATTGACGGACCCTAGACACCCACCTGCTCTGCTGACTGTCAAGGACCATGCCCATTTGCTGCCTGTTCTGTGTGCCTGCAGAGCTGGGGTTCCCAGTGATACCCGGGAAGCCCATGGGTCTGGTGCTGCCCAGGGGTCGGGCTCATCCCGAGGCCACCATGCGGGAATTTCGGCTTACTTTGGGGGTGTGTGTTGCTACTGCCTCTACTTTGATAACCCTTCAAGGGTCATCCTTGGATGGGGACAGAACTTCCTGAGCTTTCCAACAGAGGAGTCTCTGTACTGTGCCACTGTCCCCAGGGAGACAAGGTGTCGAGGGCCTCTGGAAGCGACATACCACAGCTCCTTTGCGGCCTGAGTGTTGGTGGGTGGGTAGGAAGGAAGCAGTGGCCTAGGCCCTGGAGGCCCCTGGAAGTACCGACACCAGGCCCAACCTGCAGCAGGAGCAGGACCCTGGGCCCAAAGTCCAAATGGGCGCTCGTATCTGGAGCCCTACCCTGGTGTCCCCTCCTCCCAACAGTGGGCAGATGGTCCTGCCCAGCCCTGGCTGGCACTGCTGAGTCTGGAGGACACTGGCAGCTGGAGTTTGGGCCTCTGGGAAGCTGGACTCGTCTCTGGGCCTGGGCCTGGCTCTTGTGCCCACAGATACCCTCACTGCTAATGGGGCATCTCACGAGTGCCATCCACAGTCTCCAGCCCTGGAAATGCCCTGTAAGGCAGAAATGGTCACCCCTCTTCCAGAGGAGGGGACAAGGCCTCAGAGTGGTGCCCAGGGTCAAGGCCTCACAGCTGATGAGCAGAGTGACCCCAAATCCTGGTTCACCTGGTGGCCCCTGTGTGCACCCTTTTCATTCCCAAGATTGGCCCTCCTTGGGCAATGAAGTATATGGTCCCCTACTGTGAGATGGAGACTCCGGCACAATGTCAGGCCCTGTCTGGCTCCAGGCAGATGCCACTTTGTCCTGCCCTCCTGAGATCCTGGGCACTGACCCCCATGACCTGACCCCCTGCCTGGCCCACCTCTCCAGGCTCTCCAGGAAGCCCAGTCCTAGGAGGGCCTGAAGTATCTTTATTTCCTGTCCCAACTGTTCCCTGGAGAACCTGGTATGACACATGGCTATTCAACACTTCCCAGAGCACCCCTCCACCTGGAGCCCAAGCAAATGCTGCCCCAGTTCCCGGGAGGGGCAGAGCCTGCTACCTGCAGAGTTGCTGTGGCCACAGGGACCGAGGGCGGGCTCGGGGGCTGACAGCAGGCCTGGGAGGCAGGGTCCAAGTCTTCCTCAAAGTCCGCATCACGGAAGGAGAGGAGGCGCTTTTTCTTTGCAGGTGTGAAATGAGCAAGACTCAACTGCGGTCAGCCTGACAGACAGGACCAGACCCAGCCCTCTCTGCCTTAGGGCAGTGGAGCTCCTCAGTGGGCACATCTATCTCTGTGCTACAGAGCCCCATGTGGCTGGGGGCCCATACTGAGCCCCACAGCACCACCCTTAGACCCCTTGGGCTGTAAGTCCAAACCCCAGCCTGCCTGCCCAGCCCCCACCTCCAACCCGAGCCCAGGGCCTAATCGCTGTGTCTACCACCAAAAATAAGTTAAGAAGTAGGTAAAACCAGAAGCAAACACCAACAAAGACAAGGCTCAGGTTGGTGATAAAAGCCAAAATGTCCCGGAGGAGAACCTGCCCGGTCTTCTCTGAGACAGGAAGGCCGCCTGCTCACAACCCCACTGTGCCCACCACTGCCCCTCTGGCCCCACTCTGCGCCTGCCATCAGGCTCTGCCCAGCCCACAGCTATCTGGGGTCCTGGATGCCCTTGGCAGGGATGGGATTCTTCGTGCTCAGCTGTAGGAGCTGGGGAACCAGAGGGTACCACGACTTTCAGGAATCGCAGCCTGGGGTCAGGGAGGCGGGAGGCAGGGTGCCTGGGGAGGGTGGGTGCTGGGAGGACTCACTCTGTGGCCAAGGGGCTGCGCCTGGGCCTCAGGGCCGGGTTCTCCATCCTCATCTGTCTGCTCGCTGTCTCCACTCCTCTCTCCCACGCCGGGCTCAGGTCCACCTGCAACAGAGCCCTGCGTGACTCCACTGGAGGGGCCAGCTAGAGGGGCACACATGGTCCAGCCACCAGCCACCTACCACCCCATCCCCTCCCCTCCCTCCCTCCTCTCCCTCCTCTTTTCCTCCCTCCTTCCCTCCCCCTCCCCTTCTCCTCCCCCACCGATCCATTCACTCACTGGGAAATGCCCAGGCAGGGCCTTCTGCTTGCCTTCCCAGACCCATTCAGACCTCAGCTAGGAGCTGGCCTGCCTCACAGCAGACGACCCCCACTCTGCATCCGCTTCACCTGTGGCTTCTGGCCACATCTTCAGGCGTTCACCCTTCACTACTGACCCCTTCTTTGGGGTTGTGATGGGTGAACAAGGCTGATGACACCTCTCCATCTAGTCTCATCACTTGCATATCAGCGCAGCTGGGAGAGGTAAGGCTCCGCCTCAGCATGCCCCTCTTCACCCTGAGCACCCAGGCCTGGCCTCCCCGGCTCAGCCTCCCCGGCTCAGCCTCCGTCTTCTCCTGTTTCCAGTTCACACCAGCCTGGTCGGTGCTCCATTGCCTTAGACCATGGCAGAGAGCTATGCAGTGAGTGAATCCCAGAGCACTGGAGCTGGAAAGCCTGGTGGGTCACCACCTTCCAGTTTCTGGGGCCACAGAGGGCACAGCTGGCCTCATGTAGCTTGTGGCCTCTGGGCCCCAGCCAGGTCTTGCTGTCCCTGGACACCCTACCTGATTACCCTCCCCTTGGTCTCTGTGTCTGAGGGGTCTCAGGTGTGAGAAAGCAGGGGTCTCAGGTTTGTGTAAGGAGGAAATTTTGGTGCACTGGAGGGTCCCTGTCAGCTGAAAAGGGGAGGAACCCCTCCGTTCTGCTCTGCGACGCAGGACTGGCACCCGCAAACCTCAGTGGTCTCTGCGGCAGATGAAGAGGGAGCAGGCACGTGCCGCTTCCTGTGGCTTCCCACCCCAGGGCCCTTCACCCTGACGGCGGGTCCAGCTTCATGGCCCCTGAGACAGGAGCACTAGCCTGCAGTGTCCCCTCCTCAGGGGACTGGCTGCCACCTCTGTGGCCTCCTCTGAGCTCTTGTTTCTATTAATCAGGGTCTGCCCTTTGCTCCCCAGCCTAGGGAGGGCTGATGGTGTTCCCCATGGGCGCCTCATCGTGCATCCACCTGTCCACCCAGCTACGAGTGCTGCTCATGCTCCTTGATAAGGGACACAGCAGTTGAAAGCTCTGACCTGAGCCTTGGCCTGCTCTGGCTTCTCAGCTGTGTCCCGACCCAACAGTGACCCTGTCTATGGGTGTGTGAAGTCGGTCCAGGTGCCTGGTCCTGTCGAGGCCAGTAGTGCCCTGCTGCCTATGGAGGGACATCAGGGAAGACACTAGCAGGGGACAGGGAACCCCCCCGGACCTGTCCGCCTCAGTGGACTGTGAGACACAGGCCTAGTGGGAGGAGGGGTGGGGCGGCAGCCTGGCTCACTCTTTGCTGAAATCTTTTAATCTACAGACTAAAACTGCCGGGTTTCAAAGGGGCCTGCTGCCCGTGCCTGGGCTCTGACAGCCTGCGCTCACGAATGCAGCAGAGGCCCCGAGAGCAAAGGCAGAAGGCAGGCCTGGTCATTGTTTCTGTTCTAGGTCAGTGACTTGACGGAGACTCACCTAAACCTGCAGCAGCAGACACAGAGGCAGGGGGTCCCACAGTGGGGGCGTGGGCAAGGCCCACACGGGCTTGGAGGGGGAGCCGGCTGCTGCCCACCTCGAGTGACGCACCGGGCCTTCAGGACCTGTTTAGTTATGGCTCCGATGTCTCCGCGCTAGGGGTGAGGGTTTGAGCCGCGTTAACCATCTGAGCAACCCGAGTGTTTCCCCGTTCCTGACAGAGCAGGCAGCCGAGGTCCTTTTCATTCCCACATTCAGACTTTTCCCACGCAGACAGAGCCCACCGCTCCCGTGTGGAAGACCAGGAAACAGGCCTTACCCTGAAGGTGGACAAGACACCACAGCCCACCCACCTGCTGGACAAGGTCTGAGCCATGCTCTGCTGGGTCAGACTCCAAAATTCTAACTTTTTTTTTTAAGTTGAATACTTTTTTTTTTTTAAAGGCACAACTCCTCCAGCCACCCCTCTTCCTTGTGTGGTCTTAATGTGATGCATTTACAGGGGCCCAGCAGGTAAACGCAGCCCAGGCGGGCACCACTCTGGGAGGAGGGCTGAGGGCATCTGCAGGGCGGAGGGCAACCCCGGGAATCCCGCTGCAGGGGCCAGCTGTTTCTTGCTGCCCCACAGCGCCACCTCCTGGCCCCCAGAAATCAGCATTCCAGGTCTCCAGGGGTTCTCTGGTGGCTGTGGGCCCTTTGGCACAGAGACTCCCGGGGGCTTTGTAGCAAGGCTTCTCTGCTGCTAGGTGCGTCATCTTTGTCCTCGAGCCTGTGCAGGGGCTGCCCTGCTGGAGAGGACACCTCACTGGGCACAGGATGTGGGATTTGCTGGGCGCTAGCCGGAGACTGAGGTGGCAGCAGCCACCAAGGACAGGTGACAGCCTCTCCCGGTGGCATGGGAGCTGTCCTGGCCCCAACTGTTGTTTCAGCATGGTTATCCACAGGGCTGGGTGACTCACCACACCCCTGTGTCCCCACCATCACCCCGCCTGCACTCTAGGGCTGACCACTCCCGGGGTGGCCTCTCTGTCCCAGATGAAGGACAGGCTGAGATGCCTCAGAGATACTCGTGCCAGGCCCAGCCTGAGCTCAGATCCTCTGAGGGCTGGATGTCTGGCTTCTGTTTCTCCCTGTCAACGGGGGCTTTAGGGGACAGGCGCAGACAAGGCACCTCTACAGAGGGAGGCCTACAGGAGATGCCTGGGCGGGGGCCAAGTAAGGACACCCCAACCGAGAAGCCCAGCATCTACTCTCGATGTGCAGAGCTGCTGGAACCCTCACCTGCCGCATGTCCCAGGGGTCTCCCCTTGGTCCTGCAGGGTGCTGAGAGCCCACACCAGGCTTAATGATATACCTAGGACTCAGGTGACAGGGACAAAGCAAGATCCTCCCTCAAACCCTGCTCAATTTCCGCCTTCAGTTCAAGCTTGGGCATCCTTCCCTCCCGCCCCTGTTCTGTTCTCTCTTTCCAATCGCCTCGTGGGGCATGACGGGGCCATCGCGTTCTTAGCTCAAGTTCATCATGGAATAATCACTTGTATTCAAAACACTAAAATAAATGATGAATTACAATAAATTTCTCTGTCTTGGTTTGCATCAGAAGCCTTGGGATGCCCGGGTCTCCAAGACCAGATGTCCAGGGTGGCCAGGCCTGGCAGAGGTGTCACACTGACACATGCCTAGACCAGGACAGAGACCTGGCCGTGTGTTCTCAGTGTGGTGTGAAGCTCTGGAAAGAAACACCATTTCAAATGGTGGGGCTGTCAACAGCATGTGGGCTTCCCGTGACCAGGGAGGCAGAGGGCTGCAGCTCCGGCTGAAAGCAGCCAGGGTCACCAGGACGCCAGAGGCAGGGGTCAACGGAAAGGTCAGTGCACACACACTCTCTCTCCCTCTCTCCGTCTAAAGGCCCTAAAACATGAAATCACTCCTGGCGATGGAGAGAGCGCCCTCTCCTTACCTCCTCCCTGCAGCCGCCCGTAGAGGGACCGGATCACTTTGGCACTCCCGAACCGCTTGAAGCGGGCTCTCACGTGTGCGTGGTACCACTCCAGTGAGCCCATCTTCAGGACTCTGCAGGGAGAGGGGCACAGGCCTGTGTTATACAGGCACATGCAAATGCCACTCGCCAGTGGGGCCACCCCCTTCAGCCCACCCAGGGAAAACCCCGGCCCAGAAACCATCAGGGCCGCTTGGACGGAGGCCCCAGCTCACCTGGCCAGGTGGCAAGGGTCGCAGAGCCAGCCCTGCTCCTCCGGGTGGCTGTGGCTGCAGCTTTTGCAGGTGAAAAGGCCACAGTCCAGGCACTGCCTTCTGCTGGCCAGGAGCCGGTAGGGCTGCAGGCAGCGGGCGCAGTGGGTGTCCTTCAGATGGGCCGTGTCCGCCAGCAGCTCCCTCTTGGAGCTTTCCTTCTTGATCCTGCCCTTCAACTCCCTCGAGAAAAGACGGAGACAAAAAACACATCAGGTGTCTTCTTTTTACAATAGGTTTAAACGCGTGCGCAGCTGTGTGCGCACACAAACTATCCCATGTGCAGGAGAAGGAGACCCAAAGTCAGGCAACAGTGGCCTCGGGTATCCTTAGCCACCACAGTGCCAGCCCTGCCCTTACCCCGTCCCTGGGGAGAAGACATATGATCTTCAGAGAAATGACACTGCATTTAAGCATTTCTGTGGCTTTTACAATTGTACCAGTGCTCGGATGGCAGGGCCACAGAGTCCTGAGGGCAAAGCTAGGTGACATTATCTCAGTGAGAAGTTTTGGGGCTCCTGCGGCAGGGGAGCAGGAATTGAGCCGAGGCCACAGGCATGTTCCTGTGAGCAAAGCTGAAATGGCTTGGCTTGGCGGGTTTCCAGGTGGGACCATCCAGCACCTGGAAGTCCCAGGAAAACTGCGTCTTCTAGCCCACCTTCTTGGCTGACTTAGTTTAGATGATCTAGCTTCCTGGTGAACCTGCCAGATTGCACTCGCTGGAAAACACACTCCCCGTCATAATGAATGCATTCTCTTTGTTCTGGGTTTCAGAGAGTGTCTGCCAAACATAATATTTTTAGTTTTAGATGAGGTAAAATGAATCCGTTCTGAGTGGCAATAATTAGTGAGAGACTGGGTGCCATTGTCCCCTGAGGACTCTGAAGTTCTCAGAATTTTGATGGGGACAGCCCAGCATGTGGCAAAGGTGAAGAGGTGTTCAGAGGCTACTTCTGGTTTGAAGTGGCTTTGGCTGAGGTTTGCAGTAGTCCCCCTCATCCCCAGCTTCAGCTACCCATGGTCCACGAAAAAGAGGGGTAAGTATGGTGTCATAAGAGAGCGGTGAGCACACGTTCCCATGACTTTGATTCCAGTGGGTTGTTATACTCATTCCATTTTATTCTAGTTATTACTGTTGATCTCTTACTGTGCTGGCCTGTAGATCAAGTTTCCCCAAAGGCAATGTATGCACACAAGTAAACAGAGTGTGTGCAGGCTCAGTAGTACCCGTGGTTTCAGGTATGCATGGTGTGACCTGGAAATGGTCCTTTGAGAGTAAGAAGGGACACTGTGCTGCTCATGGGGATGGAAATGAGACTCTTCTTCTGGGTTTGTGAACCAAGGGGAAAATGCACCAGAAGTTGCAAGACTCTGGGGGGATACGGTCACCTACTGACTGCAGTGCAGATGGAGTGGGGTCGACAGCACAGTCTTCACCTCAGATAGAGGTTCGCGAGGCGTCAGGAGCCAGTGGGAAGGCCCAGTCTCCTGTGATTCCACTCCTGCCAAATCCCCACGAAGCCCCCCCCGCCGCCCCTTCCCCAGGCAGGGCTTGCCCGGCTCCCTCTTAGGGAGTGCTCCCTGCTCCCCATCCCAGCAGAACCAGACCCAGGCTCCGCACAGCAGGGACAAGGACAAGGATCTGCAGGAGGTGAAGTCCTTTTAAATATCAGCCCAGGCTCCTGGGGGTGTAGCTGGGAACTGGTGTAGTTCAGGTGCTGGGTTTGGGGAAGGCATAACTCTACTCTGCTTCGGGTTCTTTAAAACATAACTTCCTTCACAGCAGAGCAGAAAGGGAGGGTGGAGGGGGTCCCATGTGGGGACACCAGGAGACAGCTGTCAACCGTGGGGCACGACTCCCAAGCTGGAGCTTCAGGTGGGGACAGGCTTGTGGGGCCAGAGCGACCTACAGCTGTGCTCACTGCAGTCACCAGCAGGGACACCAGCAGGCAGAAGCCCAGCGCGCAGCCACAAGTTCAGGTCACCTTTGGGGGTAAAGGACTCCACAGCATGTGACTTACATCAGAATCAGGAGAAGACCTGAAGCCCTTCTGCTTGCTGAGCTAAAGAGGGTGACAGAGGGCAGAGCAGGGAGGGCGGGAGTTGCAGGGGGAAGCCAGGCTGGGAAGGGGGCCACCGGCCGTGCAGGCGACGAGGGCGGGGAGCCGGCCATAATAGACAGCAAGGGGTCCCGGGACTCTCTCCTGCAGAAAATGAAATCCAGAGATTCAGAGGAGTGGTCCTCAAAGTGTGGCCCAGGGACCCCGGGGGGTCCGAAGGTCCTGCAGGAGAGTTCACGCGGTCAGAGCAGTTTTCATAACAGCACCAGGACGCATTTGCTCTTCTCCCCTCGGTTGCCAGGCGGGACCAGGTGCCGAAGCAGCGGGGACAGAACCGCCAGGGCTTCAGCCCTGAGAGAGGCTGGGCGCCCAGGTGGCCGAGCAGAGGCTAACGCACAGCAAGGAGAAACGAGGTTTCCCGTAAGCACCATCTCGGCGAGGCAGTGAGTTAGGAATCCCTCTGAACGCTGACCCCGGCACCCCGTTTTGGTTCTGTGGGACAGCGGGCGGCACACTTCCTGACATGGATGCTCGCACAGTGGTGTTCAGAGGTGAGAACAGGGTGACACCTGAAAACTCTCGCCACAGAACACCGTTTTCACCCGACTGAACCACTGAGTGAGCTGCTCTGAAGAGGGTGTCTGACAGGTACCTCCTCCCAAGGGACACAGTGAGCCTGCCTCTTCAAGGAGGAGGTCCGCAGCATTGGCTGCAGGGACAGAACTGAAAGTGTCAAATGACAAAGCAGGATTTGGGGAAATTCCATCATGAACTTGACAGCCTCCAACACCCAGAGGTTTCTGACGAGATCAGTGGCCACGTAACACACGTGGTCTCCTTTGGGCAGCAGGAAGGGCATCTGCAAGACACCGGGAGTGGCATTTTCTGATGACAGGTCACAACATACGGGTGGAAGACTCTTGTGCAGACCCACGGGTTAATGTAACAGGAAAGGAAAGGGCTGCAGGTCTGTTTCAGAGTCCACATGGAAGCCAAACTATGAATCTACTAAGCCCCAGCCTCTCAGTAGGTAACGCAACCCACAGTGGCAACCCTGTGATGAGGCCCGTGAATTTCTCTTTCCAGCCCCGGATGTGTGAGGCTAGACTCCAAGGCTGCTGCTCAGAGGACACGTCACAGCACACTGAACCCGAGGCCACAGGAGAGCTGAGCTGTCTTCCACCAGGACAGGCTTTGAAGGGATTTTGGAAAACAGATCAATGCTGCTCTTCTTACTCATCATGCTTTTGCTTTGGAAAAAGAGTTATTTTTCATAGAAATGCTATTTGCGTTAGCATGTAAGTGCTGCTATTTTTAAATGAATGGATGCCTTTAAAGTGCCCAGCTTTAGGTTCTAATATGGTCAGTACTGGTAAGGCGTGACCTATGGATAGTGACTGTGAAGGGATCCTGAAGTCAAAAAGTTTGGGACCCACTGATTTTGCAGTCAAGTTAGCTCTGGCCATAGAAAATGATGGGGTCAGGAGCAGGAGAGGGGAGGAGGGTGGGACAGGGGAGAGCGACGCCCCGGGGCCACAGAGCCTGGGCAGCAGGGCCCAGGGAGCAGGAGGGAAGCACGTTGAGAGCTGTGGGTGAAGTCCAGGGAGATCTCTGCTCTGGGGGACGCGTGGAGTCCCTAGGAAATTCAGACAGAAATGATGGGAGGAGACTTTCTAAGACAGGCCAGAGCCTTCAGCCAGGAGGGGAGGAGGGAAGGAGGGCCAGACCTCAGGAGGACTGCAGCAATCAGACCTGTGTGTCCTGCTCTGCGGCTCTTGGGATGCAGTCCAGGTGACAGCCAGGTGGCAATGTGCAAGAGTAAGGGGGAGAGGAGCGGGGGGTGGGGATCCCCCTCCAGGCACAGCCTGGGATGTGCCCTGCTGTGACCACAGCTACCAGGGCCCTGCAGTGGAGGTGAGGGAGGAAGTGGGGTATTGGGTTAGGGTCTCTCGGTCCTTAGATGGAGCTAGCAGGATGGGAGAGGTGCTCAGCAGCCAGGGGACTGGCAGAGGTGTTGGGTTGGTCTGAAGAGGCCACAGCATGTGGGTGCCTGGCTGGAGTCAGGGTCTCAGTGGTGGGTGTCATCTACTGAGACCCCATGCCCATCCAGGACCATCAGCACAAGAGCTAGCAGACAGCACGTGGTGTTAGGACCCCATCAACCATGTCGTTTTGAGGGCCACAAGACCCTCCCCTGAGGCTAACAGGTGGTCTAGCTAAGCCAAAGGAGGGGGACTGGGTGCAGACAGAAGCAGAGGCCAGGTAAGTGCTGGAGTCTGGTGATCAGAAGCCATGAGTTTCTGCCTCCTTCCCCAAGGGGGAGACTCACCACGAGTAAGTAAGGAAATAGAACTGCGTCTCCTCTGCACTCTGTGGAGCGTGGGCGAGTTCTCGGCCAAGCTGCAGCAGCAGCGACCACCCGAAGGACACATGAACATGCTCCTGACCAGAAAAGGAGCAGGGTGCTCACACAGGAGGACAGCTAGATGGGCCTGGACCGACACTCACACAGGAGGACAGCTGGATGGGCCTGGACCGACACTCACACAGGAGGACAGCTGGATGGGCCTGGACCGACACTCACACAGGAGGACAGCTGGATGGGCCTGGACCGACACTCACACAGGAGGACAGCTGGATGGGCCTGGACCGACACTCACACAGGAGGACAGCTAGATGCGCCTGGACCGACACTCACACAGGAGGACAGCTAGATGCACCTGGACCGACACAGCCCCTCTGTGCGAGGGCAGAGACCTCCTGCTGGCAGGAGCAGGCAGAGCAGCCCACCTCCCAGGGCAAAGGGCAGGAGGTGGCTGCTTCTCTGCAGGCTGGGAGGCAGCAGCCTTGGTGGGGGCTTCATTTCCCGCTGCTGTTGCATAAAATTTATACAAATGTCCTGTCTTGAAACAACACACATTTATTCTTGTAGTTCTGGAGGGCCTAAGCCCCACACGGAGACTTCTCTGAGCTGAAAGGAAGGTATCATGGGGACCCTAGGTGACAATCAGACCCTGGCCTGCCAGCTTCCACAGGGCACTCCCTGGCTCACAGCCCTTCCTCTATCCCCAAAGCCAGAGGTGGGCTGAGTCTTCACACAGCAAATCTTACTGATCCTCCTCT